CTCAAGTCCCTTGTATAAAATGGTGTAATATTTGCACATAACCTAGGCACCTCCTCCTGTATACTTTAAATTAGCTCTAGATTATTTATAATACCTAATTCAATGTAAATGCTTTGTCAGTAGTTGCTGGCACACAGCAAATTCAAGTTTTGCTTTTTGGAACTTTATGGATTTTTTTTTCTTTCTTAAATCTGTGGTTGGTTGAATCCACAGATGTGGAAACTGCGGATACAGAGGGCCAACTGTAGTTTCAAGCCCTTTACTTGTCTCAATAATAAGATCTTTGTCTAAAACACAGTCACAGGCCTTGTCTTGTCAATGAGTTTTTTCACTGCAATTGACTAGAACGTAAGCGTAAGGAAGGCACAGCTGCCAGTTTGCAGCTGTAACCCCCGTGTGCAGCAGTGTCGCAAGAAATGCATGAATGACTGCACGGATGGATAGATGGACAAGCAAAACGTTTTGAGGTGTGGCTAAAAAAAGACAACAGTTCTCTTGGAACCTTGGCAACTCACACGGAAGGCAGTTATTCCTCAGGAGATTATTCCAGTGGTTTTGATGACATCCATGGAATACGTGCACGGTCTCTTATGGGGGTGACCGTAAAAGTGAAGATGCTTTCTTTGATATGTACGTTCTGGTATATATTTTAAAATTATGCTTCGGCACTAGCAAAGTTACGTGGGGCAAGACATGTAGCTCCTCACATACAAATCAGAGAGCCTACGAGTACCGCCTCTAGAATGAGACCCCCCTGAGTCTTAACTCCACCTCTGCTACTCTCTCTGTGAGACTTCACCTCTCTGAGCCTTGGTTTCCTCATCTGCACCTTGGGAGAGCGGGACCTACCACATTGCAGTGTTGGCAGGACTCAAGAAGATTCCCATACTTTCAGGGTTTAGCAAGGCGCTCAGTAAGCGGGACCTACTGGGATGTCTCTGAGAGCTCCTGCCGACCCTGAACCATACAGAGTGTGAGGCCTGCTAGAACCTGACCAGTTGGAAAAGAAAAGCCTGAACGAGAATGAGCCTACCTCCCACTTGCATCCCACATGCCGGGTGGATGATTTTCCAGGGGGCATCCAAGGTACCTTGGTTTTCACCCGGACACTCCGCCGCACATTCACGGTGTCCCCTTTCATTCCGCGCTTATGAGATTTCTGTGGAAAGGGACAAACCCAGGGTCACTTCCCCACGCAGCTGGCCGTGGCATCACTCTGGTGGCATCCGCTTCCAACTCTGCTGGGGAGCCGCTTCTGACTAAGGCTACTGCTGCCACTTCCAGGTGACCGTCCTACCTTCCAACCAGGCAACTGAGCTCTGAAAGCGAATGTGTCTGTCTCTCAAATCTCTGGAGTTAGAAGTGTGAGGAGGCCCAGCTGGGAGGTGTCGCCTTGCTCCACAGCCTTGGCCTTGCCCCACAGCCTTGGCCTTGCCCCCCTGGCATGCTCCTACCTGGCTGTTGGTCGCTGATGCTTTCGGGAGTTTTTTTATGTGGACATGGACAGGGGTGTTCTCATCCACGTGAACATGTAAGGGGGGAGTTGAAGAGCGGTCCTTCATGGTTCGCTTCTGGCAGGTGGGGGAGGACAACACAAAAAAGGTTGATCTGTGGATGAGTAAACTGGGCGTGAAAAACCGAGCTCACAGCCTCTGGGGGCCACTGAAAGCCTAGCCACCAAGCGAGCAGGACAGGAACCAGCACTACTGGCATGCGGGCAGGAAGCAAGGCGGGCGTGCCATTCAGCAGGCTCCTGCAGAGATCCCAGCTGAAGACCACCGGGGAGACACAGGTCCGTTCAAGAGAAGGGTCTGTGAGACCCACAAGTTCTACAAAAGAGCCCAAACCCAGGCCCCGGGGTCCTCAGAGCTGCATCTCTTTCCGAGACTGCTGGAATGCACAGCTCCTCCTCATTCAGCACAGCACAGATGGAAAGGTGAGTCCTCCTACACCGGAATCTGAATGGGGCATGCGGATTAGCACGGGACACTCACAGAACAGTTACGGTGCAAAATACTTCAAGCAGCAGGTAGATAAAGGATGGTGAAGACAGAAAGCTGGAGGAAATGCCGAGATGAGAAGGTTGTATGGATTCTAAAGGCCACTTAAGCAGGGCTGAACACATACCCCTCGCCTACCTCGCCTACCACCAGCTCCTGTCAATCCCCATTCTTTTTTTTTTTACTTTTTTCTTTTTTCCTTCTGGTCTTTTTTTTTGGAAATTCTGTTTTCAGATTTTTGAAGTCTGTCTGGAAGGATTAGGTTAACACAACCTCCTCACACCCAGCAGCCTTGCCACAGGCAAAACCAAATCCAATCAATCAGCAGGCTATGCATGAAGGCACCTAACAGAGCACCTGGCCGCCGGGCTGCCAGCAGAAGCGTTTCTTCTGGCGGGGCCACAGACCACGGGGCTGCTCCGCGCGCATGTCACCTACCGTCACAGTCACACTGGGTGAGCCACAAGGTGTCCTCAAGACCTTTTTCTGCTTGAGGCTCGTTACTCTGTTCTTCTCACACGATGGAAACCTGTACCCAGGCACAAGAAGCAGATTATAAGCAGAAAACTAGGGCTCTTCTATTTCTTAGATCTCCCGAAGTTATATACTACATATGGTGTCTAACGAGTCCACGGCTAGGAGAACCAGTGTGGAATCATTTGGCTCCCTGTACACAAGCACCAAGCTCTCATGGTGTGCCTGGCAGGGGGATGGAAGCAAGGGGTGATGGGCATTCGCAGGGCTGGCCTTTTAACCTGCCATCGCATCACACGTATTGTGACCTTTTACTGAAAAGCCCAGCTGTCATCCTGTCTGTCAGGAGACAAAAAAAGCAGGCAGCATGTGGGCAACAGCCAACATGCTAGTCTGGCCAAGGGCGAAAGTGCCCAGGACACTGGCTGGAGCAATGCTCAGTGAATGACTGCCATGAAAAGACAGAGGCACAAGCTCAGGAAGAAGGTCTCTGTGACTCAGTTTCATAACATTAATAGTCAAATATTCAAATAAGAGGATGAAAAATGACCATTTCCCAAAATATTCCATTTGCTACCCTTTAAGCTTTTATGGATTTTTTTTAATACCACGTGTAATTCATCTTATACATAAACAGCCCCATCACTAAATTTGCAAATAAAGCAAAAGTTTAATCTCCAAAATCTGGCAGCAGTCAATCCAAGAATTCCAGGACGGGAAGGGACTTGGAAAGTACATTTGATCCATCCCACTGCCTGATGACAGCCCCCAAAATATGACCTTGCCCTCACCCTCCATTATTTTGGAAAAAATCATGCAACATAAAAATTCTTTAGCACTTTAGCATACATTTTGCTGTATGTATATCACACCTTGATATAAAAGAAAAAGATTTTTTGAGTCCTACTAATCATTTAGCCAAGGAATACCAAATCTGTGCAGATGGGGTTTTTTTTTCCCTCCTCACTTAGAACATTTCTGTTTACTTGAAACCAATAGATTTGGGAAAGCTCTCACCCTCAGCGGGTTTTCCATCAAACTGCCTGGATTCCACCAACATTTGACTAACTGCCGCGTCCACCTCTTACGTGGTTGTTATTTATTTACACCTAACCTTCTTTCAAAAAGGATCTGAACCTAGTACTCCAATGACAACGATGGTGATCCTATTTGCTACCAGGAACTGGGGCACCTGAGGAGGGAGGGCCAGAGGGAGGCAGAACTGGGATTACATGCGTGCATTTTCCTCTTTCCTCTTAAAAATTATTTTTAAATGTTTTGGTCCAGGCTTTCAGTACACAGAACAGAGAGCTGAAAAGAGGATCCTCCAGTGAGCCTGGCCTGGGAGCCCCTGCCCGCTTTTCCCTGCCCTATGGCGGAGGCGCCCCCCACAATGGCAGTACCTGGGGGAGCCGCCTGAGGATGACGCAGACATGGTTAGGCATCAAAGCCGCAAAGGTGGGCAATTGGGTCAGCAGGCTCTGCTCAGGGGGACCCAGAGGGGCGTGTCAGTGAGAATCTCAGGGGCCGGGCATCAAACGTCCTGAGGGGAGGAGAGTGTAAGCTTTGGGGGTGACAGTTGGATGAAAACTTGGGAGGTGCTCCTCTGCTGTCCAAGTCGCACAGCAACTGACCGTCCTGCCAAAGTGGGGGGAGATAGGAGAGGCTGAGCGACCCGGTGGGCGGGGCGGTGAGAGCTCCCCTCCCCAGGGAGGGCCAGGGGGCGGAACTTCGAAGTAAAGGACCACCACACCCAGGCCCCACGCGGGAGGGAAGGTGGGTGGCCACCAGGGGGGAAACCTGAGATGCTGGCTCGCGTGCGAAGAGGGCGGGAGAGAACCGCTAGGCTCCAAGTGGGCCCCAAAGGGCCGGAACCGGCGTAGGCAGCGGGAGGGATATTCGGGGCGGAGCCAGGGCAACTGTCTCCTAGGAGAAGGGCGTTCCCGGCAAAATAGACACCCGAGAAGACCAATAGTATTTGAAGGAGGAAGGAGCGGAGGCTGCAGGGGGAAAGGGGCGCTAAGCAGCGAGTGGGTGCCCCGACGGCAAAGGGAAAATCCTCCAGGGCGAAGCAGCGGCCGCTGAGATTTAGTATCCGAGTTAGAGCGGGTTCGACGTCGGGTCGTGCAGGGAGCGCGGCGGGAGAACCGGGAGGCCCGCTGGACAGGTGAACCCACCCAACGGGGTAGGGCGGCCCGGAGGCGGTCCCCGGGGACTGCGCTGCCTACGAGGAGCCGGCAAATAACTGCCGGGCCGAGGCCCTCAGGGAGGGCGAGGCGGACGGGGCGACGCCCACCGGCGGGCAAGAGGGCGCGGGGCCAGTCTCTGTCGGCGGAAAGAAGGGACGACCACCCACCAGCGGGCAGGAGGGGACCAGTTTCTGCCCATAGAGAGAAGGCCGAAGCCCGGAGGGAGCAGAACCCTGCCGGTGGCCAGGTGAGGAAAGGCCCGCCCGTTAGCGGGAGGAGGAGAAGGCCCGCGCCGGTGGGCGGGGCGGGGGGGCGAGATTCTGACGGGAACTGGACGAGCGCGCCGGAGGGTGCCGGCGGGGGCGGCCCGGGGGGGCAGCGGGACCCGGCGACTTCGGCGGGGGCCACCCCGCCCGTGGGGACCAGGCCCGGCGGCGGCCGCGGGACGCCCCGGAGCGCCCTGGCTCCCGCCTGCCGGCGGCCTCTCACCAGGAACGACACGGCTGCGCCCAGAAACGCCTCCTTATGAAGTCGTTGAAGTCGGAGGCCAGGGTCTTGCCATGGAGACGCCGCGGCGGATTCAATCCAGCTCTGGCAGCGACGCCTCCCCGCTTTCTCCTCCTTTTCCGACAACAGGTCGGCAGGTCGCCCATTGGCCAGTTCAAACCCCCCCGGGAGCCTCTCGGGTGTCGCCATTTAGGCCCAGCCCCCTGGCGTCACAGAGATGCCCCGCCCCACCAGAAGCTCCACCCCCTTCCGGGCCACGCGTAGCGTCGCCGGGGAGACGCGCGACGCCACTGACGGGCCTGGCTCGGGCTTGCCTCGCCGGTCAAGACGAGCTTTCCCCCCTCCGCCATTTTTACCCTGCCTTCAGCCCTCGTCGGTTCCCCTAACTCAGAGGAGCGCCCAACTTCTAGCCTACTCCCTCTGATTCATATTAGGCCACTGGGCTCAGGGGTCAGGAAACATGTTACTGTCCGGAGCTGCGCGCTGTTTCTGGAAATACAGCCCTGTCTCTCCTCCCCTGTTGGTGCAGAGATGGAGCCCGCTTCTGCACACCACCCAGACTCTCTCCCCCTCCCACATCGCCTGTCTTTGTCCGGGGGGAGGAAGGGTCCGCGTTCCCCTTGCTCCGCACTGCCCTCCTGCACACTGTATGCTGCTGTATGTACACACCTACTCCGTTGAAGTTCTCGCTGCGTCTCCATCTTCTCAACTATGCTTCACTGTCAGCCAATCATGGGGGGCTGTCACGTGGCTCACGCAGCCGCCCTGGATTCTGGGAGACTTTAACGTCCTCAGGGCCATCCTGGCCTCAGTTCCTTGACATCCTCATCTCCATGACCTTCTCTCCACCTCAGCCATGTACTCCCAGGGTCACACAACTGGTCCACCTGAAATCTTAAGTTCCAGCCCCCCCCTCTCCAAACAGAACTCATTCTTTTGCCTTCCCGCCTACTGTCTAACGCTTATGGCGTTCATTCCTCAGTGTTAGGGAGCCCTCCACTCCCTTGACCCGTTCATTTTCTCCCTGTTGAAGAAATGATGGATCCCCAATCCTTATTGTAATCCAACCACCTGAGTCTCTGCAAAGATCAAATGCACAAATCATTTCCTCCACCCTCGGCTGAGCCCTCACCACTGCCCAGCAACGGTTTAATTTATCCCCCTCGGCCTCCCCACGTTGGCTTTTTATTTATCTATCTATTTATTTATGTATTTTTGGCTGAGTTGGGTCTTTGTTGCTGTGTGCGGGCTTTCTCTAGTTGCGGTGAGTGGGGGCTGCTCTTCGTTGTGGTGCGCGGGCTTCTCATTGCAGTGGCTTCTCTCGTTGCGGAGCATGGGCTCGAGGCGCAAAGGCTTCAGTAGTTGTGGCTCGTGGGTTGTAGAGCGCAGGCTCAGTAGTTGTGGCGCACGGGCTTAGTTGCTCCGCGGCATGTGGGATCTTCCCGGACCAGGGCTCGAACCCGTGTCCCCTTCATTGGCAGGCGGATTCTTAACCACTGCGCCACCAGGGAAGCCCGCCACGTTGGCTTTTCCGAATCTTTGCCTCTTCCCCATCCCATATGACAACTCTCCTTTTTCATAGAGAAACATAAATTCATCCAGTGGAATTCTCTCCACCTTCTCCCACCTTCCCCCACCTTATCCCCCCCCCTTCAGAAGAAGTGATGTCATTTTTGCTGCCCAAGATAACCTTCTTGTTTCCAGGCAGGCCTAGGTCAAACATCTCTGTAAAACATCTCTTGCCAGTCCCAACGCAGAGTTGTTGATCATTTCTCAGTGCTCCCACATTCAATGAACCAACATTTATTAAGTCCCTACTGTGTGCTAAGCCCAGGGTGAGGGACACCAAACCAACACATCCCACTCGGTCTTCAAGGAGTACACAGCCAACCCCTCTGATGTGACCAGATGAAATGATTAAAGCTTTCCCCTCCCCACCCACTGAAGGATTTTGCCTCTGTGGTTTTGTCCCCTACCCACCATCTGAGGAGGGTTTTTCTCTGCCAGTGCAGTTCTTCGGGGCTTTTGTGATGGAGAATCTGAGAATGGACAGGACTGAGAGGTCACCACCCTCAACACACACACACATACACACACATGCATACACTGGAAGCGAGTGACAGGAAGGAGGAGGGGGAAAATCTTAGAGACAGGCAACAGGGAGGAAGGGGTGCTGAAGACAGGGGCACAGGGACACCTGTAGTGGGTGAAGGACATGTGATGGGAAAGAGAACAGGATTTTTTCTTTAAATATTAATTAATTATTTATTTATTTGTCTGCGCCGAGTCTTAGTTGCGGCTTGCAGGATCTTCTGTGCAGCATGCAGGATCTTCTAGTTGTGAGATCTAGTTCCCTGACCAGGGATCGAACCCGGGCCCCCTGCATTGGGAGCTCGGAGTCTTAACCACTGGACCACCAGGGAAGTCCCAGAGAAGAGGAATTTTTAAAGCATAGCTGTGGTCTGTTATCTGCCCCTTTTGTGGTGTTTGAGAAATGCAGGTAAAGAACTTGAGTTATTCTGATATCACTTTGTTTTTTGTGGGGTTTTTTTGTTTTGTTTTGTTTTGTTTTTTGGCTGCATCAAGCGGCTTGCAGGAAGGACGTGCGATTGGAAAGAGAACAGGAATTTTTAAAAATATATTATTTATTTGGCTGCGCCGAGCCTTAGTTGAGGCTTGCGGGATCTTCTTTGCAGCATGCAGGATCTTTTAGTTGTGAGATCTAGTTCCCTGACCAGGGATCAAACCCGTGCCCCCTGCAGTGGAAACATGGAGTCCTAACCACTGTACCGCCAGGGAATTCCCTGATATCACTTTGGATTGCTGGACCGTGTTTTCTGAATTCAAGCCACTCCAAGCCTGGCCAGCACTGGCCACTTTTTTTTTTTAAGAGCACTACCTAGCACTGATGAGGACATTGGGAAATAAGCAGTCTCACACATTGCTGGTAGGTTTAAAAATTGATGTAACCGGACTTCCCTGGTGGCGCAGTGGTTCAGAATCCGCCTGCCAATGCAGGGGACACGGGTTTGAGCCCTGGTCCAGGAAGATCCCACATGCCGCGGAGCAACTAAGCCCGTGCACCACAACTGCTGAGCCTACACTCTAGAGCCTGCGGGCCACAACTAGTGAGGCTGCGTGCTGCAACTACTGAAGCCTACGCGTCTAGAGCCCGTGCTCCGTAACAAGAGAAGCCACCACAGTAAGAAGTCCGCGCACCGCAATGAAGACCCAATGCAGCCAAAAAAAATAATAAAATAGATAATAATACAGATCAATTGTTGAATGTGGAAAGGTTTCCAAAACATATAGCTGAGAAAAGTAAAAGGCAAGGTGCAAAGCTGTAAGTCGACCATGATGATGTAGATATATATTCACAGAGAAAAAAACTACAAATTTAGGGTGGAGGATACATGGGTGTTTCTTGTATTACACTTATATATCCTCTTTTTAAAACTGTGAACAGGGACTTCCCCGGTGGTCCAGTGGTTAAGGCTCTGCGCTTCCACTGCACAGGGTATGGGTTCGATCCCTGGTTGGGTAACTAAGATCCCTCATATCGTGAGAGGCGGCCAAAAATTTAAAAATAAATAAATGAAATAAAAAATAAAACTGTGAACAAAAGAGGGTATGTAATGTGTATTAGTTTCCTAGGGCTGCCTTGACAAAGTACCACAAACTGGGTGAATGAAACAACAGAAACTAAACAGAACTAAACAGTTCTGGAGGCCAGGAGTCTGAGATCAAGGTGTTGGCAGGGTCATGCTCCCTCTGAAGGTGCTTGGGAAGGATCTGGTCCAGGCCTTGGTCCTAGCTTTTGGTAGTTCCTTGGTAGCGGAACTCCAGTTTACCAATGGCCTTCTCCACGTGTGTGTGTCTGCATCCAAATTTCCCCTCTTTATAAGGATAACAGCTGTAGTGGATATTAGGGACCCATGCTTCTCCAGTATGACCTCATCCTAACTAATTACAACTATAACAAATCTATTTCCAAATAAAGTTGCATTCTGAGGTACTGGTGTTAGGACTTCAACATATTAACTTTTGGGGGACACAATTCAACCGAAACATAATGCATATGTTCCATTTAAAGATGTATAATAAAATCGGGACTTCCCTGGCGGTCCAGTGGTTAGGACTCTGTGCTTCTACTGCACGGGACATGGGTTCCATCCCTGGTCAGGGAAGTAGGATTCCTGCATGCTGCACGGTGCGGCCAAAAATAATAATAATATTAATAACAATAAAATAAACACTAATGGAGCACTACCCAGCCACCCAGCTTAAGTAATAAAAGATTTTTTTTCTAATTTTTAACCGGAAGACACTATCTCAGAATGTTAACACTAACGATTTTAGTTTCCTCATTCTGTTTCTCTAAATTTCAACAATGAACCTGGGCTTTTCTTGTTCGTTGGAAATAAACACAGGTGAAGGAGGAGTTGTTAGCTCCAGCGCTGGACCCCAGCCCTGCGTGCAGCTCCTGGCAGGGGGATGGCCCGAGTCCTTAGGCTCTGGAGCAGCCTCTCCATTTGCCCTAGGGCCTGATTACCAGCTGTTTCCATCTTAGAGCACTTCCTCCAGGGCCCTGATGCAATGGCCACAGCATAACCCTGGGGAGAAGGAATCCATGCTCCAAACAGGGTCTAGCTTTTTCTTTCAGGTGACTTGAGAGATTTCAAGTCCTGGGTGGAGTAGGGAGAGAAAATTCTCCCAGGCCCTATCAAGGATTGGCTCCTCTTGAACCTTTAACCAGCCCCTCACTGACCCTGGGCCTCTGAGATTGGATGGACGCTGGACTCAGTGGAGAAGAGAGTCCAGGTTCTACGGTGGCCCAAAGCAGCGGTTCTCAAAGTGGGGTCCCTGTACCAGCAACATCAGCATCACCAGGGAACTTGTTAGAAATACACATTGTTTAGGCTCCACCCCAGACTTACTGAATCAGAAACTGGGGGGCGGGGGGAGCAGCAATCTGTGTTTTAACAAGTTCTCCAGGTGATTCGGATGCACTGTAAAGTTTGGACTCTAAAGTTTGAGAACCACTTCCCGGACCATCTGGGAGTGATCTTGGAGGGCAAATCTGGTCATGCCCCTTCATTTTAATGAAGGAAACACATTTTACAGAGAGGAGAAGGACCTGGCTCAAGGGGTACAGATAATTAAGTGGCAGAGGTGAAATTGGAAATTAGATTACCTGTTTACAGAGACACCCTCCTTCTCCCTGCCCCACTTTTTCCTCTGACTCAGGCAGACCACCCAAGTCCATCCTGATTCATGGTCATCGTCTGGAGGGTCACTGTGATACCAGTGACCCTCAGTGCAGCACTCCCTCTGTGCCAGGCACCGCGCTCACCTGCATTAGCTCAATGGATCCTCACAACATCCGGTGAGGTCGGCTTGAGTGTAATCCCATTTTACAGAGCAGAAAACTGAGTCTCGAGAGAGGTCAGGACACTTGCCCATGGTCATAGAGCTAGAAGGGGCTGAGACAACTCAAGCCAGTTTTCTCTGCCCGCAGGGCCTACGCTGTTACTAGTAGGTTTGCAGGGAGGGCTCTTCTCCAGTATCCCTTTTTTTTTTTTTTTTTTTTTTTGGCCGCCCTGCTGTTTAAGGGATCTTAGTTCCCCCACCAAGGATTGAGCAAGGGCCCTCAGCAATGAAAGTGCGGAGTCCTAACCACTGGACCGCCAGGGAATTCTCCAGCATTTACAATTCGGCTAAGAAACCAGAAGGAAAAAAAGAGCTCCCCAAGCAGGCGAAACAGTTGGCAAACAGCCAATGCCCAAAAGCTGCCATTTACTCATAGCAAAGCCCCTTGTCTCTTGGTTTGCACACTGTTGTGGCAGTAGCGGGGTCGGGGGAAGAGCAGATTAGAAGTGGTCCAGCAGGAGTGAGAAGGAGACCTGGTTCTTGCCCCAACCCACCCCCACTCTCACTTTCTCACAGTTCCCCGTGCCTTCCCCAAGCAGTGGGTATGCCTTGGAGAAAGACTTCCCAGCCTTTTTTCAGAGCAGGGCACCCACAGAAAACCAAAATATTTACACAGCATCTAAGTAGTCTGGTGGGTATTGGGGGACGTTTGGAAGTCTTGATGAAAATTTCATACTTCATTCTTCATAATATATATTAGGATTAGAAACTGTGGTATAAAATATTAGGGAAGACTTTAAAGCTCAGTTTTGTATAAAACTTCCAAATAAAACATACTGGATAAAAGAAGACAGACACAAAAGGCCAGGTACTACATGACTCCATACAGGTGACAGTTTGGAAAAGGCAAACAGATCAGTGGTTTCCAGGGACTGGGGTGGGAAAATGGAATCGACTGCAGAGAGGCAGAGGAGAACTTTTGGGGGGGATGTATATATTCCATATCTTCACTGTAGTACTGGTGGCATGACTTTACATCTGTCAAAAATCATCAAAGTACAGAGAAAGACAAATACTGTATGATATCACTTATATATGGGATCTAAAAAAAAAAAATACAACAAACTGGTGAATAAAACAAAAAAGAATGAAGAGTGGCCCCCGCTCGCCGCAACTAGAGAAAGCCCTCACACAGAAACGAAGACACAACACAGCAAAAATAAATAAGTAAATTAATAAACTCCTACCCCCAACATAAAAAAAAAATAAAATAAATGTCCATAATTAAAAAAAAAAAAAACAGACTCCTAGATACAGAGAACAAACTAGGGGTTACCAGTGGGGACAGGGAAGGGGGAGGTGCAGTAGAGGGTTAGGGGAAAAACAGGGTTATTATGGAATTATATGAAATCATGTGTGTGAAACTTTTGAAAATTGTAAAGCACTATAGAATTTAAAGAATCATTCATTCCAAAAAAAAAATCAAAGTAAATTTTACCGTATGTAGATTTAGCTACAGTTCCCAAACCTGTCAGCTCCTCAGGATCACCTGCGATAGTTTTGTTCAAAAACAGTCAGGCCTCACCCACAACCTACTGAATCAGAACCCTGGGCAGGAGAATTAGGAGGGGGCAGGAATCTGCATTTCAACCAGCTCCCCAGGTAACAGGTGGTGGAGTGTGTGGTTTGGGGCCAGGACTTCTGGGTCAGGACAGGGGATGCCAAGCTTCTATCTCCAGCCCAGACCCGACCCCTGAATCCCAGGCTCGTGTATCTAACTCATTGACACCTGCACCTGAATCTCAAATGTAGCACATCTGAAAATGATCTCCTGACCCACCCCAAGCCAGCCCCCTGCCCCACACTCTGTAGTTTTCTCCATTTCTGTTGATGGCAGTTCCATTCTTCTAGTAATTTGGGTCCAAAACTTTGACATTATCCTCAATCTGTCTAGGTCTCTCTCTCTGTTGTTGTTTAGCTTTTATTTCATAATCATAAACTTAACTCTGCAATTCAGCTAGACTTGGAGCGGGGAATGGAAAATGTGAAACCCAAAGCACTGCAGCAAAAGCACAAAGATTATAGGATGTCACGAGCAGATGAGGGTGAGGGATTCTCTACTGAGCTACGGAAGGAATGGGCTGTTTAAGATAAGGCACGAGTCAGATTTACTAGATTTGTCCACAGACAGCAATGGTGAGCTTCTTGCTGGTCTTGCCGTTGCTGGATCCAGAGTGGTCCACGGCTGCCACACCGTTCGTGACCTTTTCTACCTTGCCAAAGACCACACACCTGCCATCCGGCCACTCAGTCTTGACAGTGCAGATGAGAAACTGGGAACCACTTGTATTGGGTCCAGCATTTGCCACGGACAAGGTGCCAGGACCTGTGTGTTTCAGGGTGAAATTCTCATCATCAAATTTCTCATTGTAGCTGGATGCCACCAGTGCCATGATGGCACCACCCTGGCACATAAATCCCGGAATACTTCTGTGAAAGGAGGACCCTCATAACCAAATCCTTTCTCCCCAGTGCTCAGAGCACGCAAGTTTTCTGCTGTCTTTGGAACTTTGTCTGCAAACAGCCTGAAGGAGATGCAGCCCAAGGGCTCGCTGACAATGTGGAAGAACACAGAGGGGTTGACCATTGCTAGGCAGCGCAGGGAGCAGCTCCCAGCGGTGGTGTATCAGTGTCTCCTCCTGAAATTCTGCTGCTGCCTCTCACCGGCCCCACTGTTAACATCCTGGTCTGGGGCACCATCATGTCTCACCTGGATTATTACAATGGGTTCCTAACCCATCTACCTACTGCTACCCTGGATCCAACTACAGTTCATTACAGCAGCCAGGGCAATCATGTTAAAATAAAAATTAAATTGTGTCATTTGTCTGCCTCAAACCCTCCAGGGGCTCCCTGTCTCAGAGTAAAAGCCAAAATGACCTCCAAGGCCCTCCGTGCTCTGGCCCTGACCTTGGCTCCCTCACCTCCAGAACTTGGCTCCTCCTTGCTTGTTCTGCTCCAGCCACAGTGGCATCTTCCCTGTCTTTTGAACCTGCCAGTCCTGTTCCTGCCTCAGGACCTTTGCATATGCTGCCCCCTTGGCCTAGAATGGTCTTCTTTCCCATATCCCCATAGCTTGTCCCCTCACTTCCTTAAAGTCTTTGTTCATGTGTTAACTTCTCAGCTCATACTTGATATTTCCTCCCTCATTTTGTTCTGTAGGACTTAACAACCTCCAATATTTGCTTCTCTGTTTTTGTCTGTCTCCCTCACTAGAATATCAGCTCTATGAGGTCAGGGATTTTTGAGGGACAGTTTTATTCACCGCTGTATCCCTAGTATCTAAACATGGCCCATAGAGGGTGCTCAATAAATGTTCATTTTAATGAATGAAAGGGACACCTGGAGCCTGGAAGGGAGAAGTGACTTACTCAAGGTCATAGCCATCCAGAATCAACGGCTTTTGGTCTTGGAATGAACAAAGCACCAATTCCACAGCTCTGGCCCAAAGTCCTTCTCAGAGCCATGCCAAGCTCTGGAACCAAAGCCAGGCCAGCAGGACCTCATCCCTGGTACGGAAGGAGGGAAAGCCCAGCCCCAGGGGGTGCCTGACTGACTCTGCCAGGACCCAGGGGCTTACAAGACCAAGTCAAGGGGCTGCATGGGGGAGGGGCTCCTCTGAAGGAGGAAACCTGGAGATGGCAGGTCCTGCGCCGGTGGAACCACAGCAGCTACGGGCAAGATATGGAGTCGCCTCCCCATCCCCTCCGGCTGCCTGAGCGCAGGCAGTGGAGACAGTTGCTGGGCCTTCCAGGGGTGGGGAGAGAGGAAGGCCGGCAGTTCCCAAGCAGGAGAGCGTTAGAAGGTGAAGCTGCTGCAAGTAGCCCAGAGCACAGGGGGCAGATTCCAAATGCCCCAGGCTCCCTTCCCATTGCTGGCCCCAAACCAGCAGAGGGCGCCCTGGCCCACAAGGTCCAGGTTCTGCCACCTTGCGCCCTCTGGCTGCCACACTAGTTAGGGCAGGAGGGGAGCCCTGGATCTCCCCAGCCACTTCCAGGGGAGGGGTTCCAACCGCACAAGTGAAGATCCAAAGGCAAGGAGGCCTCAGCAGCCCTCGGTCTGGCCTGGGCCCACCCTGGCCAGCAAGGTGAGGCCAGTGATGACCACGACAGCCGCAGTGGGTAAGCACTCACTGTGGGCTGGACTCCAGGCCTGGCTACTTTATACCCACCTGGCCCGTGAGATACTTCTCCTCCCACCTCCACTTTACCAATGAGCAGACTGAGGACGTGATGCCAGATCGATCGCCTGACTCCTTCTCTAGGCTGCCCTCCCCCTCTGTCTCTCCACCTGCTCATTCACAGATCAGGAACGCCTCCCTCCCAGCCCTCAGGACACACAAAGAGGCTCAACCATGAGTTAAAAAGTATAAAGTGCAATACCAGCCAGCTTTTATTGAGGGCCTACTGTGTGCTGGGTCCTCCTCCCACCTCCCTGCACTTCCCACTGGCCAGGGAAGAGGGTGGCAGGTGAGACCCATGTGTCAAGCTGGATAGGGAACTGAGGTGGAGGTAGAAGGTGGCAGAGGGGCCCCAGCAGCTGGGTCCTCAGCTGGGGGCAGGGCTCCTGTGTCCGCCCAGCTTGAAACTGAAGGCTGGGGGCCCTCCCTTCTTCCCTCCACCCCAGGCCCGGAATCAGGCTGGCAAAGTAAGAGGGCCTGCGAGCCCTGCCCTTGTGCTACGTGACCTTTGGGGAAGGGGACCCGTCTCTGAGTGGTTTCTCCCAATGGAAGATGAGTCCAGAGGGCAGAGTGGCCATGCCCAAGGTGGCAGCCAGGTCTCTACTGGGTCTATGGTTCCTGGTGGCGGCTCTTGCTCTGCTCCCTGGACAGCTATGGCCTATTCCCTGGTATTTCTCTGGAGTCACCACCCTGACCTGGTGGGACAAGAGAGGTAAGAGGAGAGAAGTAGAAAGAACTAGAGTTGGACAGTGAGAGACAGAGACAGAAACAGATACAGAGATAGTGAGAGACACAAAGAGATAGAGATGGGCAGAGAGAAAGAGAGCGAGCGAGAGGGAGTTAGAGGTGGACAGAGAAATGCAGACACAGTCAAAGATACAAACAGAGACAGAGAGAGAGAAAGCCCGAGACAGAGAGAGGGAGAGAGAGAAGACAGCTGAGAAGAGGAAAGGGAGACCCAAACACAGAGTCAGTCGTTGAAGGCGAGAGAAAACCGAGGCCCACCTAGAGCTCATCCTGGGGGTGGGGATGGAGGCTGTGCCCACTGCTGCCGGCCAGGTCCAGGCGGGGGTCCCGCAGGGTCTTATAAGAGCCACTCCAGCTGACGAGGCGGCCGCTGTCATCGTCCCAGGGCGAGGACGTCTCTGTGTCGCTGAGCCACTCAGCGTCCCCCGCGTAGTGGGTGGGAGCAGCAAGCAGGGGCCGGGCTGAGAAGGCCCGCAGGTCCCGCGGCCAGAAGTGTGCCTTGTACTGCTCACTGAGAGGTGGGAGGCTGGCTCAGGGGGGCTGGGGTAGGCCCCTCCACCCAGACCCATGTCAGCCCGGAGCCAGGCACCTCACCCCCAGAGCACCTGACCGCCCTCCCCATCTAATCCTGAGGCAGGATTTCTCTTATCCCCATTTTCCAGATGGGGAAACTGAGGCACAGAACAGGAAAATCGCTTGACTGAAAACCACAGGGCATCACAGAATTCACACATAGATTGGTCTGACTCCAAGGCTAAGCTGGGCTATTCCTTGGTGACCAGAAGGAAGTGACTCAGCCCTGCCAGCCTCAGTCTCTCCACCTGCCCAGTGAGGGGACTTACTACTTGCTGAGGTGGGCTCTCGAGACAGGCTGACCCTGCCCTGCCCCCATCTGAGGCTCACTTGGGGTGCTGGTCAAACATGATGGGCAGGAACTCATCCACGGGCAGCATTCGGCGCAGGGGCTCGGAGGCCAGCAGCTTGCGGGCGCCAGCCAGGCTCAGGACGTACGCCAGTGTCCAGTACGAGTAGCCAGCTACCACCAGGTGCGGCAGCCCCTCCACAGCTGCCTCCTCCTCAGGGTTCACCTGCTTCCGGCCGAGGTAGCTGCAGGTGACACCAGGGGTCCCAGGAGTCACTGTAGATGTCCCAGGACCCCTCAGGAGGAGGCAGACCCCTGGAGGCCCACCCCTCTCCCTGGCCCCTGGGGGCACAGGCTGCCTACATCAGGTCCCAAGGAAGTTTCTCCGCCTCCACCTCCTTCATCAGCAGCTCCAGCCGCATCTTGAAATTGCTTTCAAAACGCACGTCGTCCTCAAACACCACGACCTGGGCCAGGCCCCGGGCAACCACCTGTGGTACACGGTGGGGGAGGCTCTTTAGACCCCTCCCACCTGGCTGACTCTGACAGACACTCCTGGCCTCAGTTTCAGGCCAAATGCTCAGCCCTGGCTGCGTCGCTCAGCTGCTAAAGGCTGGGCGGGGCAGGGGGGGCCTCCCTTCTTCCCTCCACCCCTGGCCCTGAATCAGGCCGGCAAAGTAAGGGGGCCTGTGAGCCCTGCCCTCGCGCTACGTGACCTTCGGGGAAGGGGACCCGTCTCTGAGTGGTTTCTCCCGATGGAAGATGGGTCCAGAGGGTAGTCTTGCTCTCCAAGCAGATCACAATGGCAATCAGAACCCTTGCTGCAGTCACTGAGCACTGGGGCCACAGTGCTCATCTCCAGGGAGCCTCAGGAGGCACGATGTCCCCGTACTGCGGCAAGGAGATGGAGACACAGGGAGATGAACCCACTCGTCCAAGGACACACAGCCAGGAAGTGGCAGAACTGGGATCTGAACTACATCTGCTGGACTCCAGGGCCTGGCTCCTCACTTCCGCCTCTTGGGCTTTCCTCGAGGAAGCTAGGCTGGGGGGTGGGGGGGGCTGGGGGGGGTGGAGGAAGGCCCTAGCCCCACACATCCCTGAGAAAAAATACTTTTTGTAACTGTTGGAAATGTGAAAAGAGCATGAGATCAGCTCAGTCAGTGGTGAAACGTACATCATCCTTCAATCTGTTCAGAGGTAGCAGAAACGCAGAAATATAAGCTCACGTGCCCATATTCTGGCTACAGTAGAAAATAAAAACAAGGAGTGAGTCTGTGCTCCACCTCCTGGAGGGGGCGCCCCTTGGAGGGCCAGGCCCGGGTCCTCTCCTGCCGTGTCCAGGCAGTGACCTCTCCCAGGCACTCACACCCCAGCCCTGGGCTAAGGCTGCTTGGCCAAGCCCTAGGCCTTTCTTCTTCCCACACAGAACACACCCAACTCCTTCAGCCCCAGGGCCTGTGCACGCACTGCCTTCCTCTGCTGAGAAGCCTCCTCTCCCTGCCCCTCAATGGCGAGGCCCACCCTGACCCCACAGGAGGCCAGGCCAGTCCGCACTCTTGAACAGCCTGTATATCCCCGCTCCGTGGCAAGCTTAGTTCTTTCTTGATTTCTGCGCCTTGCTCTGGTCCCTTTGCCCCAGGAGGGACCGGCTGCATTCTTCTTGTTCACCTCTGTGTTCTCAGAGCAGAAGCTCTCCTAGCACACAGCAGGTGCTCAGTGGAGACCGCAGGGTGAATAAGGTATAGGGTTGGGCCCTTAGGAGGCTGAAAGCTGCTGGCCGGGTCATTGTTAGTGTGCACGGTCAACCCCCGGTCACACGAGTGCTGGTACAGAGCAGTGGATGGGGGTCCTCACCTCCTCCCAGATGGAGTAGTGGCTGAGGAAGCAGCCCACCTCGCCCTTGGTCAGTGTGCGGCCCGAGTAGGGGTCCTGGTAGCCGGGAAGCAGGTCCACGCCGAGGCTCCTCATGACACTGCTGTTGAGTGTCCTGAGGCAGATGGTATAAGGGGGTCAGGGGTGCCCGCCAGGGACCTGTCCAGGGGGAACTGGCCTGTGCAAGTTGGGGACAGTCACACTGGAGTCTGGTTGGAAGGAGGCTTCAGTCTTGTTACTGCTTTGTGTGGCCTGAAGCCATCAGTGACTGGACCTGGAAAGCCACTGCCACCTCGGGCGGGGGGGATCCTAAGGGGAGGGGGCAGCAGTCTGAGGGGGACACACCCCAGGATGAATGCGGGGAACGCGGCAGATACTTCTTAGGCAGCGGCCCAAGCGAAGGATGGACATCCTGCAGTCCACAGGGCCGGGGCGTATGCAGCAAACAGCAGTGGGCACATGGGGCCGTGTGACCCCTGGTTGCCGGGGGAACACGACTGGCCTGCTCCCACCCCCGCCCCGCCCATCAGGGACCTAAGTTCAGGATGGAAAAGAATAACCCTGATAATCGTAATGAAGACATTATTAACCTTTGGGATACTTACTACATTTCAGGCCCTGGCTAAACCTTCACTGAACCCTTACAAGCCCCTAAGAGGAAGGCAGTTACTCGCCGTTTACACAGTAGGGCTGAGAGATGGAGGTCACGCAGCTGGTGACCACGCCCAGAAGCTCCAGACCCTGGGCCTTAACCACTGTACTCTCCTCCCTCAGGTGGGCTGAGGGAGGGCACCCTGTCCTGTTCTGTCTGCCCTGGGACTCCCCGAGACAGAATTACTCAGGCCCTGTTTGAATACCTCCTAGAACGGCAAACTCATTCAGCTCACTGTCTGCTTTTCCCACCCCCATGGAGCTGTGATGGACCACCCGGTCCCCACCGGCTGCCCAGGGTCCTGTCCCCACCCAGGAAGCCTCACCGGCCATCCACGGCATCCACCAAACGCCCAGAGATCTCCATCTCCCAGAGCGAACTCAGCATGCGCTCTCGGCGGTTGGGCCGGCGGGCCAGGCTGATGACAAACACCTGGAAGAGGAGGGGAGGCAGGGGAGTGGGTGCAGGGGGAGGGGAGAGCCCACCCACCTCCTGGCCCCAATCCTGCAGGCCCGGAGGACTTACCTCATCAAACCCCATCTTGCTGGGCCTCTTTGGGGGCCGGGACACATGAGCTGAGGCCCACATGGGGGGCCCATCCACTGCAGAGGAAAGCACCCCCCCATCATGAGTCCCTACTGGCTCTAGTCAGCGGCAGCCCTGGAGTCCTAGCCCCCCTCGTTCCTGCCCCCTGGCAGAATACCCAGCAGGAGATCACAGAATCCACCTGCCTCCATTGTATGGATGGGCAGACTGAGGCCCAGCGGGAAAAGGGACTTGCCCAGAGTCAGGGAATGAGTTGGGGAGAGGCTTCAACCCCAGCGGTGGGGAGGGGGGACACACCGGCTCACAGCCCTCACCCAGCGCTTCCAAGATCAGGTGGATGAAGTTGACTCTCTCATCCTCCAGCCCCTGGTGGGATTTCACAGGTACGTTCATGTACCCATAACGGTGCTCGTTGCACACGTGGGCCGAGACCCCTGCGGAGAGAGGCCGAGTGAGCACTGGAGTGCAGGGTGGGGCTCTCAGAACCCAGATGGGAGGTCCTAGGCCCAGTCCTGCCAGTGACCCACCACGTGAGTCCTGTCTGGAACCCAGCGTCCCCACCTGGGCTTGGAGGGAGAAACGGCTTGGCTCAAACAATATCTAAGGGATCTTCCTGCCGAAATGGTTTATTCACGCGATAGACGCATCTAGAGCACCAGCTGGCTGCTGGTGGTGAGAAAGACAGACAGTCCCTGCCCTCGGGGGATCAAGGTGAGGAAGGAGCAGGCAAACTCACACCTGGCTACAGCCAACTGATGCCACCGGGCGTTGCTCCACCCCCTAAATCTTTCCCACCTCTGCCCAACCCCCCTCGCCAATCCAGCACCATCACCTCTTGCCCGGATCCCTACACTTAACCCCACCCCCTCGCCTGCCCCCACCATGCTGTCCTCCACCTGGCAACCAGAGTGGCCTTTTTTATTCCTTCAATGTTTATCATCTTTATTATAATTATATATTTAGCCTTTGTCTTCTACAGACTGTGAGTCCTCCAGGGCAGGCACATGGTATCTATTAAAAAGTTAACCCCAGGCCCAGCATTGAGCACAGAGCCTGGCCCAGTGCAGGTGGTGGAAGCATGAATGATGGAGACAGAACCCCTGTTCACGAAATTCCTACAAACCGCTGACCAATAAAGAGCAGCTGATACTCAAAGTAGAGGTAAGAATGAAAAAATAAGGAAATAGGGAATTCCCTGGTGGCCTAGTGGTTAGGATTCTGAGCCTGGGTTCAATCCCTGGTTGAGGAACTGAGATCCCACAAGCCGCCCGGTGTGGCCAAAAAAAAAAAAAAAAAAGGAAATACCTTTGCTTCTTCTCATTTTTTTCTCCATGTATTTGTTTCACCTTCACTCTCTTTCTGCACTTGATTTTTTTTCTTCCTGCATCTCTGCACTGCAGACGTTGCTAGTACCTCATGCACACACACAAAAAAGATGACACTCAAAAAAAAAGATGACACTCTTCTCCCTGGACACTTCTCACACACTGCTTGCCCAAGTGCAACACTTCTTGATTAAATCATCACTTCTAATTCACCTTGACCATGAGCAGAGTTCTCCACCCACCAGGCAGCCTTCACGTCCTTGCCACCCGTGAGTGCACGTGAAATACATTCTCTGTAGCCTTCTCAAGATCTTTATTCCAACAGCAGTATCTCTGTCTCACTCTCAACTTCGACTCTTCCTCAGAACTGGGTTTATCCCATCCAAACCCAAACACTTTTTTTTTCTTTTTGGTTTTTTTTTGGCTGCGCTACACAGCTTGCGGGATCTTCGTTCCCTGACCAGGGATCAAACCTGAGTCCTCAGCAGAGAAAGCACAGAGTCCTAACCACTGGACCGCCAGGGAATTCCCCAAACCCAAACACTTTCTAGTAACCTTCATCTTAAAAATAACCACCGACAACAGAATGATATTTTCCAGTGTTCAGATCCAATCACGTGATCCTCTGATGGCTGCCCGACACCCACAGGCTAAAGACCAGATGCTTGCCCATCAGGTCCACACAAGCTGGCCCCTGCCTACCTTTCCTGACTCAGCCTGCACCATGCCCCCTTTGCTTACTGTGCTCCAGCTGCCTGCCTTCTTGCATCCCCTGCCACCACAGGACCTTTGCACCTGCTGGTCCCATTGCTTAAAATGCTCTGTCCTGCTCTGTCTACCTTGTTAATGTCTGCCCATACTTTAGATCTCAGCCCCAAAGTTTACATCCTCCAGGAAGCCTTCCCTGACAGGTTAACTCTAGTCTAAGCTCCCAAAACACCTATAATCAAAAAGCTCTTCTTCCGGTCATTGTGATTGGACATTGATTTGTGTGATCCTTTGACTGACTGGACTGGAGGATCCAGGAGGTCAGAGACTGCCTGATTTTACTCACCACTGTCTCCCCAGTGCCTGGCACCTGGTAGATGTCCCAAAAATATTTGCCTAATGAAGGAATACGTGAAAGGGCCATGGTGGGGACGGCCAGAAGGACATCTAACCTACCGGGGCAGTGGGCCCAAGAAAGCCTACGACCTGGAGGACACACAGGAATTAAAAAGATGAATTGAAGAGTGGGGAAGAGCACGCCAAGCAGAGGGAATAGCATGTGCAAAGGCCTAGAGGCCTGGGAGAAAGGCTCAAGGAGAGCTGTCCTCACCAGCAGCCTGACAGGCGTAGGCGAAGATGATGATGTCGTCGAAGGGCCAGGTATAGTTGGGGTGAGGGGGGTAGAAGCCCAGCTGTTCTGTCCCCTCCGCCCGCAGGGATACCAGGAAGGTGGAGTGGACCATGGGGACACGGAAGCAGCCCCGGCGCTGGCGGTTCTTGGTAGGGAAGTAGTCGGCTGTGCGGCGGTAGTAGCCCTGGGGAAGGGGTGGCTCCGGGCTGTGAGAGGGCGCCCCTCCATCCCCAGCACACTGCTCCCCTGCCAGGGCCCACAGACCCTAAGGCCTTCAGTCTCTCCACGTCCCTCCTCTCAGACCTCAAGCCTCCTGAGGCCCCCGAACGCGGCCTTACCTGGGGGGTGATCCCACACCAGAAATTGGAGTAGTAGGTCTGAGAGTCCAGCATCGGGGCCACCACGGGCAGCCGCTGCTCGATCAGAAGCCGCAGTGTCTGGTTGTTGGTCAGAATGTTGTCCGTGTCTGCAAACTGTGGGGAGGGGGATGTCACAGGCCCCAGCCTTGTCTGGGCTGCAGTCCCCCAAGGATTCACTGAGTGGGATCCCTCCAGATTTCCAGAAACCCAGAAAGTCTCCCAGGATCCAATGGGGTTCCCTCAGAGAGGTCTAACCTATAAACCAGTAGATCCGTTTCTGGACCAAGAATCTAGTCTGGGGCACTGGCTCGGGGATTGGGTCCAGAGATTATACCCGAGTTGCTGATCTAAGAACTTTATCTGAAGTTTTAGGAAGTAAATCCAAAGACCTACTCTGAGCTCTAGTCCAGGGAACTAGGCTCAGTTTATACTCTGGGCTCTAGCCCAGGGATCGAGTCTCAGTATATACCCTGAGCTCTGACTCAGGGATCCAGGTTTAGTACCAAGTCTGAGCTCAAGCATAGGGATCCAAGCTCAATATCTGATCTGGGTTCTGACCCACGTTGCTAGCTGAAGGAGCCAGCCTACAGGTGGTTAAGTCACACCAAGATTTCTGTCAAGGGCAGGTGCTACCACCTGTGGGAAGCCCAATTGTAGGCCAGGCTTTCTTACCAGGATATAGTCGGCCCCCCAGTCCCTGGCAAAGGTCAGGGCTTCCTGTTTCAGCTCCATCAGAAACTGGTGCCGTTCTTTGGTCCAGTGCTTAGGGCCCTCCTCGTCTGGGTAGGACCTGAGGGGGTAAAACGATGAGACATTCCCATGTGGTAGGGGCATGTGGTGTCCCTCTCTGCAGGGCAGTGGACAGAGCCCTGGTCTGGAGGCTGTGGCTCGGGGTTGTCCCTTTCCTTCTCTGGGCTGCAGCTGTTGTCCATCTTCCCCAGAACGTTCCCCTCAGGTCACCACCTGGGCTCCCCCTCAGGCCTCCAGACCACAGCGGCATAGTCATCGCCCACAGCAGCCAGCCACTCCTGCAGCATCTCTGTGGTGTTGTCCACGTTGTGGTCTGTGGCACACCTGAGGACACAGGAGGAAGAAGGGTGAGGAGGCACAGCCACCGAAGGACCAAACCCCGAGGCAGCCTTGACCCCCGGAGCACCAACACTTGCAGGGCTGGCCTCTCCTGGGAGCAGAGGAGGCAGGTGTGCTCCAGAGGAAGGCAGGAAGCCAGGTCCCAATCATAGGTCTGTGATCCACTGTGTGACCTCAGGCAGGTTCTGACCCTCTCTGGGCTTCACTTTCTCCCTGTAACTTTAAGCTGTCCTGGCATGCTCAGGGGCTGAGATGACAGAACTTGAATGCATTTTGAAGGATGAAAAGTACCTCAACTTTGAGGAACATACCTGCCACATTCTCTGGTTACCTTCCTTCCCTGCTGTTTGACCACAGGTCAGCCCCCTCCCCTCTCTGAGTCAGGACTGGACAGAGGAGCTGCTGCTTCCCTCCACCAGATAGTTGTAATAACGACCAAACCACACTCTGAGCGTCCCTGAGAAATGCTGATGGGCCCGAGCTCCGTTGCCACCACGAGTAGCCTCTCTGAAGGGGCTCTCATGACAGAGGGGGGTGCAGGGGGCTTAGCCAAGAGCCCAGGTTTTAGGTGATACTGCCCCTTTAAGTCAATTCCCCAGAAGTGAACATTAACTACGTGTCAAGTCTTCTATGGGTGGGAACTAACTAACTCCCAAACTGGTAATTGTGGGCAGCCTCCCCAGGCCACTGGCTCCAACCCCAGCCCAACTTTGGTGTGTTGGGGAGGGAGGGTAGTTTGGTCATTTCTCTCAGTTTATCCCCAACCTCAGCTTGGGACTCCTCCCTGCTCTGGCTTCTACAGACTGTGGCCTCTGATTCCAGTGCCCTGCAGGGACGCCTAGGGGGAGGGACTGCAGGAAGGGGGCTTTGCCCTTGGCCGCAGGACCCAGCCCCTCTCCTGAGAGAGGCTGGAACCAGCCCAGGGGAAGGGGGAACGGGTGTGAATCCCCCATAGGGCAGCATGGAGCCCAGGGCTGACAGCACCCTAACGGGCTCCCCAGGAACCCGGAGGCCTGCTGGGCTGTGCCACATCGGGCCCCAGGGGACGCCAGCTACTCCTGTCTGCTCCGCTCCAAATCAGGCCAACCACAGGTCCCACGGGTTCAGTTTCAGCTCTGAGGGCTAGGGCAAGAGGGACTGGGCCCAACTTACACCCAGAGGAGGTCCCAAGAGGAGGAATAGGGGCCAGAATTAGGGAATGGTGTCCCTCTGTCAACCTAAGGCCTCAGAGGTCAGTCTGCAGGGCCAGGGGGATAAGGGGTCCTGTCCGGGGACACGGGTTGCGGAGGGCCTATCTGCGAGGGAGGGGCCTGTCTGGGTGGTGTCTGGGCAGCGAGCAGATGGGGCCATCTGGAGCCCGGACTGTCCGTGGGGTTGGGGGATAGATGCCCGGTGGATGCCGGTGCCCGGGTCTCTCTCACCAGAGGGCCAGCCTGGCCCGGGGGTAGTCCAGCCGCTCCAGAGCGCCCAGGTAGTGGGGCAGAGAGTGCTCGGCATTGCGGGCCAGGATGGCAAGGACCACGGTGGGCAGCGGCGGCTCTGCGACGCCCGCAGCCTCGAGCCGCGGCCCCAGCAGGAGCAGCAGCTGGAGCAGCGGGGCGGCGGGGGTAGCGCGCATGGCGGGCGCTCTGGCGGCTGCGGCGGCCCCCGGGGCTCCCAGCCCAGCCGAGGGTAGTGGGCGGTGCGGTGCGGCCCGGCCGGGGCGGGGCCTGGGGCCGGGGCGGGGCCGAGGCGGGCCCGGAAGGGGTTGTGGGGGGCGCACCCCCCAAAGAGTGGACTCCCACTCCCAACCCCTATTCGTGGATTCTCAAGTGTCCTCTCCTCGACCAGGGGCATCGCAAGGCCAGGGCCCGGACACCCGCCCCGGACGCGATCCAGGAGCAGCTCCCTCCCTGCTGGAGGGTCGTGGAGGACGGCATCCGAGCCGCCCGGGCATCTCAGAATGCTCGACTACGAATCCCTGGGCGTGCAATCGCCAGAATCCGGCTCCACTGAGCGCCCCTGAATCCGGATTCCCTGGCCATCCATCTGACCCTCTGACCTGAGCCGCAGACCCCGTGGGACGGGACCCACTGGGCCGCGGCCTTTCCGGGTTCCCCCGCTCCAGCCCGCTCCACCACCCCCGGGCGCCCTCTGGCGGGCCCAGACGGAACTTCTCAGACCAGCCAGCCGACGCGTGGGCGGACAGAAAGACCGGCTTGGGGGGCGGGGAGGGGGTCCCCCTGACCTGCAGACGTCATCCCGCCGCGGTCCGAGCCTGGCGTCCCCAGCGCGTCATCGTCCTCGCCTCCATCGCCAGCACCGGCACTGCTCCGGCCCTTTAGGAGAGCAAGGCCTACTCTTAGATTGAGTGTAGAATATGGGGCACCACTCAGCCTCTCATGGTGACCCAGCCCCCTCCAAAGCAGGGTGACTCCTGTGTCTGGTCAGAGTCGGGGTCCTAAGGCCCCTGCTGAGATGGAAGAGGGTCCCCAGACTCTCTTAGGGCAGGGGAGGGGAGGGGTCTGGAGGCACCAGTATGGGTTCTAGCTCCTCTCTACCACCAACCTCAGGCAGGCCGCTTTCCCGGAGCCTCAGGGCCTCCTGGGTAGAAGGGCTGCTAACAGCACCCACCTAGGAGGGTTTGCAAGGATTCCTTGAGAGCGTGAATGCACTTAATTCTATGCATGGGGCCTGGCAGGCGGGAAGAGTTCCTGGGTCTGGAAGACAGAACTGGAGGAGCCAGCCTCTCCTTCCATTCAGCCCCTCACCCATGGGAACCTACTTTCCTATGGCACCTTTGGGTCTCCCTTCAGGTTCTTCCCAGGGTCAGGGAGGGGGGCTAAGCCTGTGCACACTATCTCCACTGCAAGAAAAGGGGTGGGGGCCCAGCAAGTAACAGCCTGGTGATGGGGCAGCATGTGGAGGCATCAGACCCCAGAGTCCTGGTCTCCAGCCCAGCTCCAAAGCCTCCAACAGCTTCCAGGTGGGGCTGCTTCACAGCCAGTGCCCTGCAATGGAAGGCCTGAGGCCCCCTGAAGCATCCTGGGGAAATAATGAGTCCCTTCCCTTGCATGGCTGCCTCTGCTGGAAGGCACTCCCAGCCCCAGAAAGAGGATACCCTTTTTTTTGTTGTTGTCATGCTGAGCAACATGCAGGATCTTAGTTCCCTGACCAGGGATTGAACCTGTGCCCCCTGAAGTGGAAGCGTGTAGGCTCAACCACTGGACCGCCAGGGAAGTCCTGGGGATACCAAAGCAATATCCCCCACCTCACCCATCCCAGGATCATCCCAGAGCCTCTGCCCATGCTATTAGTCATGGGGCTTCCAGATTCTTCTCTCACCTCAGTCATCGTCCTCCTCCCAATGCACTGACCCCTCCCATCTTCACCTCTCTCCCTCCCCAGTCCACCCAGTGGTCTAGCCTGTCACTGACTCCCTTGCCCCAGGGTTCTCCCATCATTCCTGCCTGAAAAACCCTACAGCCATCTTGCTTTGGGGCACGTTAAGACAGTCTCACCCTCCTGATCTCCACTCTCCACTGGACTTTCACTGAGCCCAACAATCCAGTTTCCCTGTGCTGTTGCCCCCGCTCCTCTGTGGCATTTCACACGCCCGGGTCTTCTGAAGCCCTCACTCCACTCCCTCTCCCCCAGTGAAAATCTTCCTGCCTTCTTTGGAAAAAGAGAAGCCATCACCTGAGAACTCTTATTTCCAGCCTCCAAACCTTCCACGCCCTGCGACCAAGCTGGCCTCTGCTCTCACGGCCTATTACCATGGAAGAGGCACCCCTTCCTCATAACAGAACCATCCTTGGACTCCAAAAGCCATTCTCTTGCCCTTCCTGGATCACCAACATCCGTCTCTTCTGGATCCTTCCTTCAACATTCCAAAGGACTTAAACCTCCCCCAACTTAAAATGTGAATACAGGGACTTCCCTGGTGGTCCAGTGGTTAAGACTCCATGCTCCTAATGCAGGGGGCCCTGGTTCAATCCCTGGTCAGGGAACTAAATCCCACATGCCGCAACTAAAATCCCTCATGCCGCAACAAAAGATCCTGCATGCTGCAACGAAGATCCCACATGCCGCAGCTAAGACCTGGTGCAGCCAAATAAATAAATAAATATTTTTAAAAAATATATGAATACAGTCAGCTGCCTGCCTGTGCTTTGCTCCCGGTCTCACTTCCTCACCTTCATTCGCTGATTGACACACACCAAGGCTGCTCCAGCCAAACTGCTCCCGTCAAGACCGGCATCCTCCTGGCCCCTCATCCAAGAGGGCTCCCTCCAGCAGCTGACTTCATGGACCACTCCCTCTTTCTGCAAAACTGACATGTGTCTCTGCTTCTCACCTGGACCCACATTCCATCTGTCTAAAACAGAACCCCAGTCTTTCCCCCAAACCTGCTCCCACTCCGGTGGCCTCCCTCAAGCTGATGACAAGTGCCTCTCTCTCAGCCCACTCCTCATCCTGGCAGGAGACCTCAATGTCTCCTGCACGTGGCCACTTGCGCGGCTCAGGGCATCAGCACCACTCACCTGGGCTACAGCACCTGCCAGTACTCACCCCCGCGCCCGAGGCTTTCTCCCTGGAAACTGTTCTTCACACAGTGGTGCTTTCTCAACTGCATGGTGTTACACCCTTTGGGGGCTGCCATTGCCCTCAGCATAGAGCTCAAACCCCTCAAGGGACAAGGAGGCCCTTCGTGGCCTGCCTGCTGCTTCTCCAGCTCCTCTGACCTCCCCTCCCCTATCTCCTGCTCCAGCCAAATTGGACTATGTACAGTTTCCAGAACACTTCATGCTTGAAGACCTTCCCACATCCTTTTTTTTTTTTTTAATTCCTCTGCTTGAACTGGGCCAACTTCTACAGGCCCTCTGGAAAGCCTTCCCTGATGTCATGTCAGGGGGACCTACTCCTACAGGGAATCCTATATAATCCCATTCATTCAGCAAATATTTATTGAGCACATGCTATGTGCAGGAAGAATTCTAGGTACTGGGGATACAGAGGTACAGACAGTCTCTGTTCCTAAGGTGCTCACATTCTGATGAGGGAAGACAAACAGGAAACAAGCAAATTGATAAATTAATAGATAACTTCGAAGAACAGTAAATGCTATGAACAAAATAAAACAAGGTAATGAGAACAGAGAGTAGCTGAGGGTGGGAGGCAACATTGAATAGAGGAGTCAGTGAAGACATTTCAGAGCAAAGGGGAGCCAGCCAAGAGCAGATCTGGGGAAGAGTGTTCCAGATGGAGGGAACAGGTGGGAACAAGCAAGGAGGCCAGGGTAGCTGGAGCAAAGTGAGCAAGGGGAGTGTGGTAAGAGGTGAGGACCACTTAGGGCCTTAAAACTATGGCAGGATTTTGGATTCTTTTGAAAAGTGCAACAGGAAGACACTGGAGGGGGTAAGCAGAGGAGTGACAGGATTCCTCTTAAAAAGATCGCTCTGGGGACTTCCCTGGTGGTGCAGTGGTTAAGAATCTGCCTGCCAATGCAGGGGACACGGGTTCGAGCCCTGGTCCGGGAAAATCCCACATGCCACGGAGCAACTAAGCCCGTGCGCCACAACTACTGAGCCTGTGCTCTAGAGCCCGCGAGTCTCAACTACTGAGCCCACGTGCCTAGAGCCTGTGCTCCGCAACAAAGAGAAGCCACCACAATGAGAAGCCCACGCAACGCAATGAAGAGTAGCCCCTGCTCACTGCAACTAGAGAAGGCCTGCACGCAGCAATGAAGACCCAACACAGCCAAAAATAAATAAATAAATAAATAAATTAGAAAAAAAAAAAGGTTGTGAGATTTAAAAAAAAAAAAAAAAGATCGCTCTGGCTGCAGCTCAGAGGGTGGACCACGGGGGCAAGGATGAAAGCCCAGGAGAGCCTGGTACTGGGAGAGATGACGGTGGGCAGGGCTGAGATGTAATGGAGGCAGAGCCCACAGCCTTATGGGATTAGATGTGAGAGATGGAGCGAGGAGTCAGGATGACTCACAGGGTTTGAAGTGGGCTGGGTGGTGGGATAGGTTCTGAATGGGGAAGACCTGAGAAGCAGCAGGTAGAATGTGAAATCAGGTTCTGCGTTGGACCTTATTTTGAGCTGCCTTTTAGACTCGCAAGTGGAAAGATCACATGCCACGCCTGCCCAGCTGTGAGTTCTGAGGCAGGGGCCCGTCCGCCACCTTCACCATTTTATACCAGCCCTAGAGCAGGGCCAGCCGGCCACTGGGTGGGCTCTCAATAGAAACATGATGAGGTCATAAGAACCTACTGTATGGCACAGGGAACTCCACTCAATGCTCTGTAATGACCTATATGGGAACAGAATCTAAAAAAGAGTGGATATATATATATATATGTATAGCTGAATCACTTTGCTGCACAGCAGAAACTAACAACATTGTAAATCAGCAATACTCCAATAAAAATTAATTTAAAAAAAGAAATATTATGGGGTTACTGACTAGGGTGGGCTGACCAAGCCCCTGTGCTCCTACTTACACTCATTTTTTTGCCTTCACATATAATAATACGGCGTACTCTGCAAAGGTAATATTGCGCCAAACCCGCCGAAATTCTAAAGCAGTGGTTCTCAAAACATGGTCCCTGGACCAGAGCCAGCAGCAGCGTCACCTGGAAAGTGTTAGAAATGCAGATTCCTAAGCCCCTCCCCATATCTACTGAATCATAAACTCTGGGAGTGGAGGTTAAACCAACAAGCCTTTCAGGTGATTTTGATGCCAGCTCAAGTTTGAAGCTGCTATTCTATGGGCCTAAGGACTCATTCTAGGGGTCACGTAGGACCCCGAAAATGATTGTTTTGGGTTCATCTGGCTGAATAGGACCCAGACCACCCTGGACCAACACATAGTTGGGCTCTGGATTCCCCTCCTCACAGCATCTTCACTCCCGTCCCTCAGCCATTGTAGTTCTGGCCAAAGCCAGGTGGTGGCGCCGGTGCCTCAGGCTCCACACTGGCTTCCGGAAACAGAGACCCTGGAAGAATTGTCCCCCTCCCCGGCACCCTTCTTCTCCCCTCTGGGAGCCTCAGCTCCAAGGTCTGCCTACAGGCAAGGACCCTGAAGAGTGACCTTCATCAGGGAGAGGGGCGCTGAGGTTGGCACACCCAAGGTGAAGGCCAACCCCCTCTTCCTGGAGATTAGGAAGGTGGGCTAGAGGAGCCCCCTAGGTCAGAGAGAAATTAGGGGTGTCTGGCCTGTGGGGCTTGGGGGTCAGGAGCCCTGGCAGGTGGCTGTGGTCCAGTGGACCCTGGTCACACCCCCATTAACCCTCCGCCTTCCCTGCCCAACCTAACGCGAGGTCTCAGGTGCTGTTTCCCTGCCAATGGGTGGGGGCAGCCTAAAAGTACCCCAGGGCCCACACAGAGCCCCAGGGTTGCGGGTCCTCACAGCCTGGCAGCCAAGCAGGATGGGAACGGGGGGCCTACGGCAGAGGGGATGCACGGATGGAGCTCTTACCAGCTGCGAGCTTCACGTCTCCTGGGTTGGGGGCTCTCTGGGCCCCTGTCCTGCTTTGTGGCCAAGGGAGCCCAGGATCCTGGCCAGAGCAGGAGCCCACACCCTGCTCCTGGTCCTGGTGCAGCTCGGCAGTGGGGGTCCAGGAGCCCCAGTAGGCTCCCTCCTACATGAAGTTCCAAGCCCGGTTCCAAGCGGACCCAGGGCTGAACGCTGAAGTCTTGCCCCCCATCTGCTCCCCTGCCCCTCATCTTTCCTATTTGAGGGGAGACTGAGACCCCCAAATTCCAGATGGAGTCACCACTCTGCTTAGATATAGCGTATCTTGGTGTCTGGTCGAGGAATCTGCCCATGCCCCCTCATCTTCCAGGGTCCCACCCAATGCCCACCCCACCCCCAAAGGACCACCCTCTCGCTCTTGGCCATGCCCTCCTCTCCCAGGAGCCCAGATGTGGAGCTGTCCTCCTCTGAGAATCTGCCTCTGTCCTCAGGAGGCTGGGTCCAGGCCAGCTGTTTTCCTCGTGCAGCCAGCTGTTTTGCCCATCAGGAAGCAGCCCTGGCTCCTCTGCTAAAATCGTGGCAGTCCCGCTGGGCCAGGGCCCGGGAGCTGTTAACTCCTCTGGGGCCAGGCAGCCCCTTCCCCTCCCAGCCTGACCCCTTCTGCCTTCCTCTGACCTGCAGGAGTATCGTGTCGCAACACTTCTAGAAACCCCCAAGCAGACCAAGCATTGCTATCTCCACCCCCACTCAGCAACTGCTAACCCACAGCCCCTCCCTCCTCTCAACAGAGCCTTGTCCTCAGGTGACCCCAGGTGAGAGGAAGGTTCAAAAGGATAGATGTTACCCCATTCAGAATAATAACAGTAATAGCTATCATTAACTGTCTGCTGTGTGCCAGGCATTGTGCTAAGTGCTTGAAATGTATTACCTAACTTAGTTTTCACAACAACCCTGTGAAGTAGGGAATATCTTCATCTTACAGATGAGAAAATGGAGGCATGGTGAAGCTAAATCACTTGCCCAAGCCCACTCGGAACTGGGGTTTGAAAACAAAACTGGGCTGCCTGCCTCTCTCTGGCCGACCCTGGTGGTCCTGGAATCCCAGTTGGTGTTGCTATTTAAGTTTCCCCGAGCTTCTCTCTCTCTGATCTGGGCCTCAGTAGCACCATCTGTGAAATGGGAAGCTCACGGGTGGAATTACCACCACCACCCACTCCGTGGGCTGAGTCCGGAGTAGTGCCAGGCTCTGCGCTCAGCACCTTCCAAGTATTTATTAGTGGATCATTCCTCTCGGTGGCGGCGGTCAGCCTGGGCTAAGATCCCAGCTCTGCTGCTTCCTGGCAGCCTAGTTTTGGGCAAGGGACTTTACCTCTCGGAATCTCAGTATCCAAAGTTAGAAAATGGATAGAAGAACAATATCTACTGCGTCCTTGATTTTGTTGTGAAAAGGATGAGATAATGCAGGTAAAGCGGTTAGCAGGTACCTGACACAGAGAGAGTCGGTGGGAAATGTTGCCCCTTTACTATCACGACTATAAACGACAATCCGGAAGGATCTGAGTGGCCCACCCACCATTGTGCGCCCCCATGCCCAGCACGGAGCAGGCACATAGGAGGGCTCTGTCATTTCTTGTGAATGAATGCACCCTGGTCCAGTGATACCCACGCGAGAGCAAAGGCTGCGAGAAGGGGCACAGCTTATCCAGATTACACAGTTAGCGGGGTAGAGCACTGGGAATCCCAAAGCGCCCTTAACTCTTCCTGAGCCCGGAACCTGGTCTGCCGGGAAGGGGAGGAGAGACAAGGGAACAGGGACAATCCCAGGGCTGAGACGGCCCAGAAGGTGACTGGGCTGTGGCTGGGTGGGATCTCAGGGTCTGGGAATGACCCCTCAGGATGCAGTGACCCGTGCTCTCCCCCTTTGTCCCCTCCCCCCTGCCCACCATGGGTCAGCTCCCTGGTCCCAGCCTAGACATCTGGAACTGGGGCAGACAAAGGGCTGCGAGGAGGGACAATAACCTTCTGTCCATTTTCAGATGCCGGGCCGGGTCTGGCCAGGGCTGGGGGCCGGAGCCCCGGCAAGGCGGTGCCAGGCCCCCCGTGGGCAGCGGACAATGTTGGCAGTGATGGAGAGGAGGCATTTCAAAGCGTTTTGTTCCCGCTGACCCCCTCCCCCCAACATCTCGCCCCAGCTCGGGGTGAGGCCCCAGCCCCACCCCCAGCCACCCAGGCCCCTGCTCCCGGCGGCTTGGGGACCGGCCACATTCTTGACCTCAGGGGAAAAGTTTAGACTCTTTGCGCCCTGGGCAACAATAACAGTGTCACAGAACTGATTTAGGAGCAGCACTTACCATCACAAAGCGACAGACAAAGAGCCAGGGCTGAGAACGCGCCGGGCCTCTGCGTCTACTCTTCCAACCGCTGCTCGTTTCTCTCCTGGGCACCGCCTGGGCAGGACTGGGGGCCAGGGCCCGACCCTGGGCACGGAAAGCCAGGGCAGGACTCGAGGTGGGAAGGAGTGAAGGAGGAGAGACAGGGGATCTAACAGGGAATGAGGGGACCTGAGAGCTTTCCTGCTGAGAAAGCCCTTCCCCACTCTGGGCCTCAGTTTCTCTCTCTGTAACGAGGAGGCTAAACGATAAGGCTGAAAGCAAGAGGCTCCGATCCTGCGGGCAAAAGGGTCTCAGTGACGACGACGACGATGATGATGTTGAGAGGATTTACCACTTCATTCTGCCAGGCACTGTGATCACTGACCCCTTTCTGCCTTAAGCCACCTCCCCCCACCACTTTTTCTTTTTCTCTTTCTTTTTTTTCTTTTTTTTAACGATGGCGAACACTCAGGCAGCATCCTCTGCCTCTTATTCTCCCAAGAGAAGAGCGATTATCAATGGCAAATGGCAGCTGCAGAAGCAACACCAAGAGCAGGTTTCACACTCAGGAGAGAATGCTGTGACTCCTCCTCGCGGTTTCCGGTGCTCTACACGTTCAGAGAAACTTTTCTAGTAACAAACTACAGACATGATTCCTGAAAGTAGAGTTTTTCATCCTCTTTTGTCATTTAATCCTCACCAACCGCACAAAGCGGGTGTACCATTAACCCTAGTTTACAGTTGATAACTGAGGCTCAGAGAAGTTGAGTCACTTGTCCAGGGACACACAGCTTGGAGGTTATGGAGCCGAGACATGAGGCAAGGCTGTTTCTCTTCTGATTATAGATTATACTGCAGTGGGAAGGAGAGAGGGGCAACGAGGCAGCTGGACCCTGCTGAGTCCTGGGTGGGAAGGCCTGTCCTCCCAGCCAGAAGGCTATGAATAAATAAATGTCTGATTACCCCCAGGGGGAACTCCACCCTTGGAGCAGGTGCCTTTAAAAACTAGAATGATTCTTGTCTGTGAGCAGAGGTTGGCCTGGGCAGACACCCAGATGCGGGGACTGGACACAATGACCTCTAGTGGAGACCTCCTAGGAATTAGAGGCAGGATAGGAGAACATTTAAGGGCTCAGGGCACTGGAGCCAGGCTGTGAGTTCGAATCCCGGCTCTGACTTTTCCTGGCAGTGGGTCCACGGACAGTTACTTCTACTTTCTGTGCCTCAGTTTTCCAATCTGTAAAACTGAACCCACCTTTTAGGAGTGTGGAGACCATTCAGCGAAGTATATGCAAGGCCTTAGAACAGCATCTGACTCAGTGAGGGCTGCCTGTTTCTATTCAGGAAGGTGCCATGGCCAGGGCACCTCAAGGTGGGCACTTCGGGGACCCTGTAGCAGGCAGTCAGCTGTTGGCCTTGCTTTCCAAGGAGTGGTTGGGCTTTGATTACAGCATAAGGGACTACAGTTAGACCCTGAGATCTAAGGGGACCACATTCTCTGGGATCTGTAAGGTCGAGGCCAAACCATGCCTTCTCATCAGAAGAGATTGTGGCTTCTCTGATGCCTGGGCAGGGGTTGCTTGGCCCTGGGCATGGTGCCTGGAGAGAGGATAGAAAGGGAAGGATGCCCTGGGAGGTGCTATCCAGAGTCTGCCCTCCCCCAACTGCCCCTGAAAGCCAGAGGGACCAAACTGTATGTGGAGGGCGAAGGCAAGGTGGCCGAGCACAGCGCCCAGAGCACAAACAGTACTGCCCTTGGCGTCATAAGGGGGCCTGGTGGGTTTGAGTTCCAGTTCCACCAACTCGCTGTGTCACCCAGGATGAGTTGCTACCCCTCTCTGAGCTCATTCCAAAAGTCTTTTAGGATCCAAAGTGTTCAAAGGAGACCATCACAGGAGCTTCTGTGATTCCATAGGTCTTAAGCAAAAGGTTGGCTTGGAATCTAGAAGTCCCGCTCCCCAGACTCCAGCCCCTTCTGTCTCCCTTCATCCCCATATCACCTCCAGCTCTTCTAATCATCCTTTTGGTTCCTCTCACCAAACTACAAGTGCCACACGCACCGCAGACAGAGGGTGAGACAGTCTGACAGAAAATGTCACAGATTTCTGGGGACGCATAGGGAGCCCCGACAAAGCCTCCCGCTCCCTCACTGCCCGGCTGTGGGGCCAGAGGAGCACTCACCTGGGCAGAGCATCTTGGGGTCCCCTCGGCCCGGGAGGCGGATGGCACTGCTGGGGCCATCTCTGGTGACTTCCCTACCCAGTTCCCGCTGCTGAGAAGGGCTGGTCAGGCAGGCCCTCAGGTGCTAGCCCGCCCTTCCTGGGCACAGATTTTCCTGGCATCTGCTGGGCAGGAAGGGCACTGGCTGGGGGTTGGGCAGGGGGGCAGGGAAAGATTGGGGCGAAGGTGTCTCCTGGAGGGCTTGTCCCCAGTCCCTAAACCCACTCCTTTTCTGGACACTGTGGGCTGAGGGTCCAGGAAGCCATGGGCCCTCGGGAACCAGGGGAGGGTTGACGGGGTGAGGTTGAGACGAGCCCAGTCCCCTGCCCCATCCTGCCCCCCGCCCCAGCAGGCCAGTACAGCCCAGGCTGAGGTGTTTGCTTTTCCTGTCTCCACACTGACTCCATTCAGAGAGGCCTTTTTCCACCCCGGGCCAGTAGCCAGGGAGCCGGGGCACCAGGGAGAGAGATCACCACCCCACCCTCCCGCCTTTGCAACCCCTTCTGCCATCTTCACTTCAGGAACCTCAGCCTCAAGAGCTTCCTGGTTTGGGGAGGACTACGGCAGGGGGGCCCACCCTGGAGAAGAGGGAAACCAAATGGAAACAAGGGTGGTGGGGGAAGAGGGGTGTGAAGTGAGGTCAGGAAAGATGAGGAAGAGGGACAGGGCTGTAGGAGGGCCAGTGGGGAGAGCAGGGCTCCTAATGCAGGGAGCCCAGGCAGAGGTGGGCGGGACGGGGGGCACAGAGCCCGAGCCACGGGGCAGGGGGCTGGCACGGGAGGCAGGGAGCACCTTTACAGGCTGCCCCAGGGCCGCCCGCCTGGGCTCTGTGCCGTCGAGGCTGGGAGCTCCTGACTGGCCCCTGAAGAGCAGCCTCCTCCTATCTCTGGGACCTGGGCCCAGGCGGGGCTGTGACCTGGTCTGGGGCCTGGGGAAGGAGGAGGGTGAAAAGTTTCCCCAAGTCAGAAGGCCACGGGGGAGGCATCTCAGGGGGTCCTGCTCTTTGCTCTCTCTGACTGTCATGTTGGTACATAAAGGGGGTAGAAAGGTCAGATGTGGTCTTTCAGGCCCGTGGGAAAAACTCTGCCCATTTCCCTAATCCATATTTATTGGTGTGAGACAGTGGGGTGAGAGGAAGCCCCCTGCCCCCACCCGTCGCCCCGGCCAGGCCAGGTTAGCACTAAGAACAGGCTCCATGTCACCCAAATCCTACTCTTTGTCTCCAGATTGGCTCCAGAGTTCTCCCCCTTTCCTCCTCCCCTTTGCTCCCCCCACCCCCCTTTGGGGTTGCCAAGCAACTGTGGAAGGGTAGCTGAGATATTTTCTTTATTACAAGCAAAGGCAAGACAGCATCATGGCTCCAGGAGGGGAGCAGGGCAGGGGCTGGGGGAGAGGGCATCTTGTGCTCTGGGGGAATCTCGCTACCTCAGTCTGCTCATGGGCATGGGCAGCGGGGAGACAGGGCCTCAGAGCCCAAGAGAAGGGGGAAGATGGGGAAGATGGAAGGGAGTGGTGGTGGTGGGCTGGGTGGGTGCACAAATGTTGACCCAGTCTACATCATGCTAGAAGAAGCAGCGGTGCTCAGAGACCCAGGCCAGAGCCCCTCACCTGTCACCCACCAGCTGTGCATCCTAGGCCAAGTCACTTCCCTTTTCTGGGCCTAAGGCTCCCCTTTGATAAAATGAGGATAGTAACATGTATTATCTTAGTTAGTGCTTACATTAACCCCATGAGACGTTTATTTTCCCCATTTTACGGGTTTAGGAACCTGAGGCTCAGAGATGCGACATGATGTGCCTCGCAGGTAAGTGACAGAGGTGAGATTCTTGAGCCCCGACCATTTTCTTAATACCAGTTTTACTGAGATGTAATCCACATACCATACAATTCGCCCATTTAAAATGTACAATCTAATGGTTTTTAGTGTATCCAGAGTTGCACAACCATCGCCACAATCAACTTTCGAACCTTTACATCACCCCCAAAAGAAACCCCATACCCATTAGTTTTCACTCCCTGTTCCCCCCAAAACGTCTCCTCCCTTCATCCCTAAGCTACCATTTTTTGCTTTCTGTTTCTATAGATTTACCTATTCTGAATATTTCCATAACTGGAATCAGACAATATGTCTGAATCCCAGTTCTTAACTTCCAATGGCTCCAACATCACCGGGTGCTGGGAAAATAGACGTGTCAGATGGTGGCTTGGGTACGAACATGGCCTTTGCTGATAGACAGACTTGGATGTAAAACCTGGGCTCTCCTGGAGCCCGCGCGTTGCAACTACTGAGCCCACGTGCTGCAACTACTGAAGCCCACATGTGCAGAGCCCGTGCTCTGCAACAAGAGAAGCCACCGCAATGAGAAGCCCACACACTGCAACGAAGAGTAGGCCCCGCTCGCCACAACTAGAGAAAGCCCGCGTGCAGCAACGAAGACCCAACACAGCCAAAAATTTTTTAAAAATATAAATAACCTGGGCTCTGCACCTGGGGGCAGTCACTTCCTCTCTCTGGGCCTCGGGTTCTTGGTCTGTACAATGGGAACAGTAACAGCGTTCCTCACAAAGCTGTCATAATCCATGAGAAGTGCTTAGCCCAGTGCCCAGGACTTAATATATGGTCGTTCTGAGCTGGATTACAATGACCCATGCATCCGCCCATCTATCTATCCCTTTACCCAGGCATTTAATAAAAGTTAGCACCTTCTAAGGGTCTGGCATTCTTCTAGGTGCTGGGGATGTAGCAATGAATAGGACATGATCCCTGTCCACGGAGGGCTTACATTCTAGTGGAGAGACAAATTCGACAGTGGGTAAATATCAGGCTTTCAGAGAGGGATACGTGTAATAAAGACAATAGCACAGCATGATGGGATGAAGCATCCCAGGTTGGGGAGGAAGGCTTCCCTGCCCTTCCTTCACTCATCTCATGGAGAGGAACATCTTTTGTAAACGGAAATATACTATGCAGGGTGTAGGGGTTCTTAGGATCCCCTCTGAGTGGGGTCAGTGGCCTGGCTTTGTCATCTTCTGAGATTGGGGATGTATCAGGTTGTCAATTCATTTCCAAGGCAGGTTGCTCAGCTCGTCACCATGTAAGAGCACTGGCTGCTCTTAGAGAACTCTGCACGGATGGGGCAGTGGGAGCCACGAGCAGGCAAGGGCCTGGCCTGGGGAGACACACTGAGTCATAGCAGGGCTCTTTCCTCTCTCCCGGGCCACGGTGAAACTGGATGAATGGGAGCGTTTGGGGACAGGACTCCAGGGTTGGATATATCTGGATCAGAGATGCAGCCTGACCGACCTGTTGCCACAGCTGTTTCCTGTGCACCTGCCTGCCAAGCTTTGGTCATGAGCCTGCCTCTGAAGCACAGAATCGAGGCTGCAGCATGAAGGAAGCCCCCTTTAGTGAGCACCTCACAGCGATGTGTCCAGCTCCATACCTAGAACCTCATCTGAGTGGCTACATTAGGCACCCACAGTCAATTCTTCATTCATTTTCTCTTCTATTCAGCTGTCCCAATGTCTGCTTTTTCATCCATCTGTCTATCCATCCACCCATTCATTGAATTATGACTCCTATACAGCATTCATTCATTCATTCAACAGACAATTACTGAGCATATCCTTTGTGCCGGGCAGTGTTTGGACTAGTTCCTGGTCAGATGCCAGTCCTGGTAGGAACGGCATGCCTAACTGGCAGTGTGGGAGACTTTGCCACCTTCTTCCTGAGAGCTAGTCTTTCTTAACAAGGGAGAAGGGAGAGAGCAGAGGCTAGGAAGAGTTGAGTGCATCCCTGAGCCTGAACGTGTATATATGTGTCTGTATATGTTGGAAGATAGTGATAAAACCTGACTGCAAGCAAATGCAAGGCATGTTTGGACCTTCCCAACACCACGAGCATCTAATAATCATCTCTAGGGACACAGGACCGGCATGATGGCCCCATTTCACAGAGGCAATAACTAAGGTTCAGTCTACTGGAATTCACACGCCTGGAAGCCCGAGGCAATGCTGTCTCTCTCAGCTGTTTTCCCACATCCTCCCCGTTGGAATGAATCACTCAGTCTTCTATAATCCCAGAGAATTTTGCTAATGCTTCAGTTAGAGGGTTTTCCCCTGGCTCCGCTCCTTTCACTGGGGCTGGCTCCTTTTGCTGTGTGTCTGTCTGTCCACTGGTCCACTGGATGGATACTTCTGGACAGGCAACATCAGACTCTGTTCATCTTTCTTTCCCCCTCCCCCCAGGCTCCAGCGTACAGACAGTACACCACAGGTGCTCACTAAATGTTACTCATTAGTAACAAGGCTGTCAAAAACACAGCTGGGGACTCTGCTCTGCCATCACCTAAGTCCAGGTCCCCCCACCAGCTCTCACCTGCAAACCAGCAGTAGCCTAACTGGTCTCCGTCGCTGACCAGCTTGCCCCTATCTCGCCCCCCTGCCTCCCATTTGCTACACTCCAGGGCCAGCACACCTTTAAACATGTAAATCTGAACTTGTCAAACCTCTCAGGATCCCCACTGCGTTTAGGGTAAAATCACAAATCCTTCCAGTGTCCTACAGGGCTTGGTGGGGTCAACCCCAGCTCCAACTCCACTTCCCCTTCGTGCTCCAGCCACGCCAAATCTCCTTCCTTCCCAAAACTCACCAAGTCGTTTTTTGCGTGTTAGCTTTGGAGGTGCCCTTCCCTCCTCCTGGAACAGTGCCCGCCTCGGCGCTCCGCCCGCCTCCACCTTGCTGGCAGCTCCTCGGGGCGGCTCTCCTTCCCTGGCGCTCTGTTGTGCATCTCCTTTGGGGACATCTGCCCATGCCGAGTCCCCGACTAGCACACAGTAGGCATGCTACAATATCTGTTCAGTGACTAGCAGGAGGACCCTTCTAGGCGCCTCAGTTTCCCTGAGGATGAGGGTGAGGGGAACTGACCCTTTTCTGCCGGGGGCTGATGGCTTTAAGTAGCTCTCACATACACGGAGAAGCCTTCCTCCCGACCCACTCGTGCAGAGACCACTCTCGTCCTCTCTGTCAAGGCTGTGTTTCTGCCAGGCTGGGGTGGGGCTGGAACTGGATTATAATTTATAAACAGACACGGGATGCCTCCTGGCTTTCACCGTTTGGAGTGCGCATTTACGCCAGTCCCCCTCCATATCTGCCACGTAAAGGGTGGGAATCTGTAGTGTGCGGTGGGTTCCAACTCTGGCTCCATCACCTTCCAGCTGGGGACTAGAGACTTAACTGCCACCAGTCTCGGTTTCTTCATCTGTAAAATGGGGCTGATAACAGTGCCTACTTCCCAGGGTTGTTGTGAGGAGTCAAAAGGCTCCTACTTTTAAGACGCTTAGTGCTTGGTACTTACAGTACTTGTCACAGTTATTGTTGTTATTATTTTTAGCAGATGGAGCATTCACAGGAGTTAGGACCTGGTTAGCTGGGGTTCCCTCTCTATAAAACCTTGACTTCAAGTATTACTCCCCAGAAGCCTTATTTTTTCAACTTCCATAAGAAACTCCAAGAAGTTCACGTGGCTCGTTTTTAAGTCAGCAATGGCTTTTCAACGATGGGTTGGGGGGAGGGCACTGTACTAGGCTCTGGACGCACAAAGATCATCAGTAAGACCCACTTCCCGTCCCAGGGAGGAAAACAGATCAAGCAATAATCACAGTTCAGTGGGGCACGTGGCGGTGGCCCACAGACTGTGGGGAGAGGAGAGGATTTCAGGGCATGGGCAGGGACGCTTGGGGTGCCTGGGGAACCCTGGGGTAAATGGAGAGCAGAATGCATGGGAAGAACGGCCACAAAGTCCCTTCCAGGGTGTGAGATTCATTGGGAAAGATAGGCTGAGTGAGCTCTGCAGGTGAGGAATTGGGTCTGTATCTCCCAGTAGACTGAGAACCTTCTTTGTGCCAGACCCGGCTGGGGTGGGCTGGGGTGGGGTGGGGGCATACCAGACCTAGACAGAGCCCCTGCCCTCCTGGACCAGTGTCGCTGTCCAGTGGAAGAGACAATGACAAGAATTAACAGATTCCATGCCCCTCTCATGCCCTCCTGCTCCCCCACCCCCATCCCTACAACCCTGCTAGAGCTGAGGCATCCAGGAGCCTGCAGGAGGTATCCTGGGAATAAGCCCTTGTCCTTGGCCGCAGAGAGGGCAGTCTCCAGATCCCTAGTGGGAGTGCGGTCTCTCGAGATGGCATCTTCAGCCTGGGGGTTGGGACTGCATCCCCTCCTCCCTTATCCTGCAGCACAGCCTTTTAAGGGGGTGACCCTGACCTCTAGACCGGTCCCCCTCACCCTCCAGCTAGAAGCCCCTGGGGCAGGAGCTTAAGGCAGGAAGGCTCCAGAGGCCTCAGGTTTAGATGCAGATGGAAGGCCAGAGTTGAGCCTTAAAAGATTCTGGAGTCCCCTGGGCTCTCCTGGGGAGCTCATCCAAGGCCAGGGGCCTAAGTTGGGTCCATGGGAGTGCAGGGCCGAGATGCGGGTGCCTGGCCCAAGAGGGAGGGAGGGGGCGATGTGCAAAGGGTTCAGGCGAAGGAGCTGGCGGGACACTGGGAGTCTAGGATGTTGGGTGGGGGTGGGAGGGCGAGGGGTCCGGCCGGTGCAGGGGGGGCGGCCCCCGGGGAGGGGCACGCTATGTCTTTAAGAGCTGCCTGAGCGCAGGTTGCAGCTGCCTGGCCAGCCCGAGAGACAGCGGAGATTCATTACCCGCCGACACAATGACCATTGATGGCCCCGTGGCGTTATTCAAATCCAGTACCAATTGCAGCCGAGCCCCTTTCTCCGCGCCAGGCCCGTATTGTTGGAGCGGCCCACTAAAAGCCCGCCCCGGCCCCGAGCCGCCAGAGGCGCCCGCTCGGGCTCAGCCCTGCGCCTCGCCAGCTCGCCGGCTCCCAGCCCGGCTCCCCGGGCGCTGCAGGTGACCCGGCGGCGCATTCCAGCGCTCCCCGCCGTCCCAGCCACTGCCGCCACTGCTACCGCCGGCGCCCCGGCCGCGACTCAGCCACAGGGAAGCGGAGAGCGCCCGAGCCGGTGCGTGCGCGGGGCTGGGCGGGGGCGGGAGACCCACGAGTCCAGCAGCCCGGACCCCGGGTTCGGAAACGCGACCCGGCCTCGGGTCCCTGTTTTCCGGATTCCCGGCGAACCCAGGGAGCCCAGGCTGGGGGCGGGGAGAGGGGAGTCGGGGGTTCCCCGGGACTGACAGAGGAGAGTCCCCCGACCTGGGGCGGCGTAGAGACCCAACGCGGGCTACTCTAGGGACCCCGGGCCGCGATCGAAGGAGACACGCGCCAGGAGCGACCGGGATCCCCACGCAGGGTCGGGATCCGCGTGCTTGCTCGTCCACCTTACCGCGGGATGGGCCGCGACTGCCGAGCATCTGCGAGGTCCGCGAATCTCCGGAGATCTGGTCCGGCGCTTTTAAGGAGCGAGGCGGAACCCCGCAGGAGACCGGGGCCCTGAACTCAGGGGCTTCGCCACTGATTGTCCAAACGCAATTCTTGTACGAGTCTGCGGCCAACCGAGAATTGTGGCTGGACATCTGTGGCTGAGCTCCGGGCACGACAGGGGCGGGAGCCGCAGGGACCGAGCTCAACGCGGGCGAGACTCCTCGGGGTGGCGGCTGGCTGGACCCAGCGCGAGGATCGCGGCCCTGGCCAGGCGCGCGAAGGAGGGACACCGGTCCCTGTCACCAGCGCCGCCATCCTCCTCCCCTCGTCGTCGTCCTCGTTCTCCTCCTCCTCTGCGGGTGACCAGTCCTGGCTGGCGGGGTCCTCCAGGCGATAGCGTCGTTTTTCCCTTTTTCAAATTTCGGCCGGGAACGAAGCTGGCACGCCGCGGCGCGGCCCAAATGTGGTCCGGGGAGCTCGCCCTCGGCCCGAGCCGCAGAAAGTCCGGGAGAAAGAAGATGCCGGCGGACTGCGCTTGCTAACTCGTTTTGAATTGATTCTAACCCATCCTCCCCCACCAGTATGCCCTAAGCAAGCCTAAACCGACCCCTAAATCCCAAATAAACCGACCCCTCCCGCCAGCCCCTCCAGACCGACCCATGGGCTGAGTCTCCTCCAGCCGCGGCTGGAGTGGGAGAAGCGTCGGGAATGATGCGCTCATTGCCCCAGCGGGGCAATCGCCTCGGCTTTGGAAATAGAACTTGGACAAACGAATTCTTTTCATTAAAGATAAATTTTTGGAGATAGTGGGGTTTATTTATTTATTTCCTCAAAAGTGGGTTCAGGAGTTGCGGGGTGGGGGGGCAGTTGGGTGTCATCGGGTCTGAGCCCAGGTCATCTATCCCTGACCCCTTTCGCGCCCAAGCTGAAAATGACCCAAAATGCTTGGAGTGTGGCCCTGGCCAATTTCAGCCGTGATGCTGGCATCCCTCGTTTCGGTGGAGAGCCCGGCTTCCCCAGCACGTCCTCCTGCCCTGCTCCTCAGCATTAACTGGCACGCTGTGGAGGAAGGGATATCCCGTTTTCACCCCTCCTCTCCCCAGTGCAGGCAGGAAAGGATTCCTCTCGCCTAGTTCCCAGGACTTGGAATCCTGCGGGGGTGGATACAGGGGCACTCTGAAGCTCAGCGGGGCTGGAGGCAGGAAGGCACTTCCAGGTTACAAGAACCGGGACAGGTGTATCCTTCATGTGAGGCTGTCCCTTACCCTGTTCCCTAACATGCAGACCCTGACCTCAGCACCTAGTGCGGGCTGGTCATACAGCCTCTCCCTAGACAGCACCTGCACCCATAATGTAACCTCAACATGGCCACTCCCACACACACACATACCCAGGGGGCCTCCACCTGCAGCGGTGCTGGAGAGCAGCTCACCAGCCCGGGGTCGTCTGCCCACAAAGCCTTGAGAATGATGTGCACACACCACTGCCAACACTGTTAGGACAACCATTTGGCACTTTCATCTCCAGAGTGAGAGAAATTCCACCTTAAATTATTAACATTTAATGGAAAGCAAAGTTTGGGGGCGGGATGATGTTAATGCCCTAATTTTTTTTTTTTTTTTTGAGGTCTCCCTCCAGCAAACAAAGCTTTTCCTCCAGGTCATGGGAAGTGGGGCTCTGCAGTCTTATCTATGCCTCCTCCGTCCTGAGGCCGCTGGCTGCAGCTGGTGGGACAAAGCCTGGCCTCGGACAGACGGGTAGGGAAGTATCTCGGGACGCACGCTGGTCAGCACAGACCGGCTCTGCCACCCCTTCTCCAGATGGCCCGTCCTATCACCCTTTCTCGGAGTCTGGATAGTCTGGCTTGCAACCCCTGCTGTCTTCTCGGGTGAAGGGAAGTTCTGAAAGCCCTAGGCTGAAGACAGAGGTTGGACCAGAGACCACGGCTGGGGGAAGTGTGGGGTGCCACCGGTTTCTAAGGACGAAGTTCCAGGCAAGGCCAGTAAACAACCTAGTCTTTTATTTGCCCAAGGCCAGCTGTTGCAGGCACTGAGGCCCCAAGACTTCCAGAAGGGATGGAGGGAGGAGGGGTGAACCATCCTGCCTACCAGGTGCTGCCTGCCCCCATCCTGCTTCCTGCAGGAGGAGAGAGAGGAGATCAAGTGTACATTTGTGCCATCAAGTATCTCCCCAGTTTTCAGGTACTATAAAAATTCAGTTGTTGTTGAGGAGGAAACTGAGGCACATTGACCCCCCAAGCCTCTATCTGCCAGTCCAAGGTTTAGCCGACACCCTCCTTCTCTCCCCGCTCAGCAGAATGAGCTGCACGCTGGCAGCCTCTTGCCGGGAGGAGCGTCTCAGGAGCCCATCTGGTGGCCTGTGTGGGGGGAGGCCAGCCAGGGTCAAGCACTGTGGGTGGGGGAGCAGGAGGAAGGGTGCGGCTAGAAGAGCAGCTGCTGTGGGGGGGGCAGCACTGAATAGGGGACCCCAGCTGGGGCTCCACAATGATATCAGTGGGGGACAGGCAGAGCCCTCTGCTGTCCAGATGGGGAAACTGAGGCGGAGACCCCTCCAATCTTTGAGAAGGGAGGGGCCTGCCATCAGCTATTCAGGTTTATTCATCTTCCCCCAGGAAGGCACCACGGCCCAGGAGCTGGAGTGCCTCGTCAGCGGCCACTCAGTGTTTAGACTGAGACACAGGAGTAGAGAGCTGCCGGGTCACCTGGCTGCACAGACCCCTCCACTCCTGACAAACTGAGGGGCACCCTCCCCCACCTCAGCTGCTGGGAGAGGGAGTGCCGGGCTCGGGCGCCTGCCCGCCTGCCTGCCTTCCCCTGCTCACGTGCCTGAGAAAGGCTCATTTTTAGCACCTGGCCTCTTTTCCCTGCCTGGAGGGAGCTCAGGGGACAGAGTAGGGAAGAAAGCAGCCAAGGGAGACAGGGAGATCTGGAAGCAGGGCCCAAGGGGATGTCTGATTGTTCTGTTCTCCCCACCCCAAGGGGGCCCAGGCACAGAAAAGGGCCCTTAGCCGCCGTGCAGCGTGGATATGAAGAGGATGCTGTCCTGGTCCTGAAGCTGGTAGTCCAGCTCACCCTGGTCCAGAAGAGAAATAAGAAGACCGTCAAGGGCACTTTTCCAGTTTCTCCCCAGGTGTTGAGAGGGAAAGAGGGGGAGCCTGGCTGCTCTGGGAGAAAAAGATAGGATCTACCAGAAAAAAAACGGGTACCCTATACATTAACTACTAGCAAATCTCCAGGGTGGAGGAGAGCTCATCACTTCCCCCAGCTACCCATTCCTTCCTCACTTGGGGTGGGAGACTCAAGTAGCCTCAGTCTGGAGGCCAGATTGGGACAGAGGATTACGTAGCCACCCTATGTGCGTCTCATGAGAGGCCCAAGGCTTTCCTACCAAAGCAGTGAGGGGAGTGGTTGAGGGAGGGCTGTCCCCCGAGGTACTGACCAGCAGTTCCCAGTCGGCATCGTTAACCAGCACCAGAATCCCTGGCCGCCTGTGGGAAAGATGGTGGTGAGTAGCAGGGCGTGAAGGGCGGGAGCTGGCTGGGGCAGGGGCAGAGGCTTAGACATTTGGGCCGCAGGAGTGTGGTGGGAGCCTTTTCTCTCGAGGGTCCCCATTAAAGTTCTCCCAGGGAATGGAGGCGATAGGAAAGTCTGAGGGCCAGATGCAACACAGGTGCAAATTCCACTGCCACCTCCCAGACCTCGGGCAGGTCATTTTGTTGCCCTGAGCATCAGTTTCTTCATCTGAAAACAGGGTAAATCACAGGGCCTTCCTCACGAGCTCTGCGGGAGGATGAAGTGGCATGATGCGTGTGAGGTGCTTGCTTGCCAGGGTCTAGCATGGGAACCACTGGTAGCAGCCTATCTTTCCAGGGGTCTAACCTCACTGTCCTAGGCCTCCCGCATGCGCGTCCTGGAGAGGAGGCTACTTTGGCTTTTCTGAATCAGGGAAACCTGCTAGTGGCCCCAAGCCCCTGAAGGCCTGAGAGCAGCCCTGCCTGGAGTAAGGCAGGGCAGGCCGATATTTGGACAGGTACCTTAGCCTGGTTCCTGCTGGCAATGACCCAAAGAGCATTGCTGTCCTTGGGGGTGACCTCCACGACTGTTGGACCATGACCTGAGCCACAGGCTGGATGGCAGCCCTAGCCCCCAGGGCCTACTGGTGAACCTCTGCTTCGAGGCACATGAACAAGTCCCACAAATGCCCTGGCCACTTCTGTGACATATCAGGCTGGCCTTGTTGTAGGAGTATAGTGATTTCATGGCACATGGAATCTGGATTTTTTCCTAGGAGGCTAAGCTGGGCCTGGGACAGATACAGAAGCTTTGGGCTGGGCTAGGGGTGTCCCCAGTGAGCATGAATGTGCATGTGTGTGCACACACATGCAGTGACTCCCTGTAATCCTAGACCTGCACCGTCCAGCCCGGTATCTACAAGTCACATTTAAATTTAAATTCCATTTAAGTAACACTGAACACTTAGTTCCTCAGTCACACTACCCACATTTCAAGGGTTCAATATCCTCATGTGCCTAGTAGCTACCGTACTGGACAGCACAGATAGAGAACATTTCTATCATCACAGGAAGTTCCATGGGAGAACACTGTCCTAGGTTGTCAAGCGATGAGAGAGAGCTTGGGTAGCATCTTTTCCTCAGTAATGTCTGTATGGAGAAAGTAGCTGAGGCCCAGAGAAGTGAAGTAACTTGCTCAAGGTTCCACAGCAAGTTTGTGGCAAGCAGAAGGTGGAATCTAAGTTTTTTGATAAATTTACCAGTCTCCTGACCCAGGTTTTGAAAAAAATCCCCAACAGTCCAATGTGGTAACAAGAAAACTGAAAATAAACTTCAACAGAGCTGGACAGAGGCAGCCTTTTCCTTGGAGGGCTAAGAGGAGGATAAAGGGAGAACAAGACCCAGAGAAGGCTGTGCTTGAACCAAGGACAGGGGCTCAAACCTCCTTCCCTTCACCTGCCCTCCTCAGGGAAGGGAGAAAGGGACTCACACGCTGTCTCCCCGGATGAACAACTCCGGCCGCTCTTTTAGCAAGTTCTTCTTGATCCAGACAAGGAGGTTCCGGATGTCCCCTGGAGAAGAAGGCACAAAACAAACTAATGTCAAATCCAAATGATTCCTGGCCCTCAGGGCCTTGCCTGGACCAGGAGGAAGTGAATATGGGGCTGAGAGGGCCTCTTTTAGACCGGGCTGTCATGGCCCCTGAACTAGTGGATTCCCAAGGTGAGGAAATGGACCTGGAGAGGTCTTCAGAGAAAAGTGGCATCTGGCACTGCTGAAAGCTTGAAGAAGAGGCAATGGGGATGCAAGGCAGACAGCAAGAGGAATGGTCACGTCTGAAAGGGTTGAGAGACAGACCTCCACCCACTAGCCCTTGAAGATGATCTGAAACCGCCATGGGTAGGCTTCTGGGAGAGCCCCTCCACCTTTATCTCCCCAGCCAGTCCCAGATGGGGAGCATTCAGCTTTGCTCTTCGAAGGTCTGCATATATTTCCCTTTGTCAGGGAAGAAAAACAATTGCTGAGCCGATAACATCATTTAATTTCCTCTGACAGAAGGAGAGAAGGATCCTTCACCAGCCGGAGACGCTGACAAATCACTGCCCCTCTACTCCCCCTTCACAGAGCCCTCCAGGGCAGGGGCGGCCACCCTGAAGAGGGAAGAGGTTCAGGGTCGAAAGGGCCTCTCCTGCTCAGCTGGACACTGCGATCTGCCTCTGTGGTTCTGGGACAGCCACCAAGCTCAGTACATCATCTGGAGGCTCAGAGCC